TGAACCATGGCTTTGCTTAATTCCATTCAAAATACAATAAAGGTCTTTCAGTTTCATTGAAACCCTAGCTGACCTCAAAGGATCATCTGAAGAGTTTAAAATGATTTTTAAAGTGGTGTTGGCTGACCATTGAAAAAAATCACTGGTCTTTTCAATTTCTTGACAAAGGTCAGCTTTCCGTTTTTTACATATATGATTAAGAGATTATTTGTATGATGGTATTGTATTTTATGTGTAAGGTTTTCCACACTTATTTCAGAGCCTGTTTCAACTTCAGTGCTCCATCTGCTGTCAAGATGGAGTCAGTGCATTAGACTTTGATTCACCTGTACCTGCATAAAACACTGCAGCTTGATATGGAGTTCCATCCATCTGTTTTATAAGCACTTTATCCAATTCAGGGTAACCTAGGGTGGGGTAACAGGGGGGGAGCTTAGTCTGGTAAACATTGTGTGTAAGGCAGGATACACCCTGGAACGCCAGCATACCACAGGGCAGACACAGAAGCAAACAGCCACACACATACTGTACTAGGGCCAGGTTCACAGAAGCCAATTAACTTACCAGTATTTCTTTGGACTGTGGGAGGAAACTCAGTCAGTAAAATCAGGAAGCCATCCAAACTCCACCCAAGGAATTGGACCTGGGCTTGCAGATATTGCCAGGCAGCAATGCTAACCACTGCATCACCGTGACGGTCTGTGATCTCGTGATATGACAAAAATATGAAAATATAAGAGTATTGCCTTTTTGTTAGCCCTAAGTATTTTGAGGTATTGTAACACCATGCAGGAAATTCAAAAATGTAAAATCCTTTTTTGTTGCAGCACTATATATATACACACATGATAATGTGGATATGCAATAGTTCCTGCTATGTTTAAAAATCACAACTATTAAGGCATTTAACACCCATTCACTGTCAGTGAGCTTCTCATAATGGAAGCACAGGGCACTGGATGAATAGAGAGGACAGGATGGGACATGCCTGTCAAAGAGAAAGAGTTCCTTTAAACTACCAATCAGACACAGTCAGTATGTCTTTAGGAAAACCTGTAAACTCCACACAGACAGCTGTGAGGCTGAAACTCGTAAGCATTCTGCCACCCATATGCTGAATAACTTATTAACAGAAAGATAAAGAAAGGTTGTCTCTTTCCATACCAGCCTTCCTGTGGTGTAATGTGTGTTGACAGCATTCTCAGTTCATAGATAAGACAATAGCTATGGCTTCAAAATGCATCTAATCCTCCTCATCTGCAACACAAGAAGACACAGGCAATTTCAGCTGACTCTGACAATGGCACAACAAAGCTATCAACATAATCAATTTCAACATTTCAGTGACTGTGCAGAATGTGACTAGACTTGGAAAAAGGCCTAATATCAATTTATCTGATCCATTTTGTACAGGGACACTTCTCTATAGCCTCCTGACAGAGCAGTGACCTGTTTTTTGTGTTCTCTTGCTTACTCTCTGAGATGAAAAACTATCTGCTGATTGTGAGACTCAGGAAGTACTTAAGACTTAACCTGTGCTAACCAGACTCTTCTCTAAGCTGTGGGGACAGGATATACTCCTACATTTTCAAGTGATTTTCTAATCCTCCAGGTGTTGATTGTTGTTACGTCCCAGTGTGTGTTCTGTGTGTGTGTGTGTGTGTGTGTGTGTGTGTGTTTGGCTTTGGCTTCTTTGTACTTTTTGTTTGTGTGTTCATCTTTGTTTTGTCATTACCTTGCCCCAGTGTTACATGTTCAACTTGTGTGTTCTTTTTGTACCCTGCTCCTATTTATTACTCTTGTTTTCCCTTATTTGTCTTCCTGGTTCACTTGTTTTTGTGTGAACTTTTGTATTTAAAGTTAGTTTAGATTGTTGGGTACACTTACACACTTAGTTGATTTTGTATTAGTACACTAGTTTAGTACGGGTGAGTGCCGTTTGTCTTGTATGGTTTTGGGTATAAGTGCAGGTTAGCTAGGGTGTTGTAGACGCTGAAGACCGTGTGTTTCGGGGTTTCTTTTGTAGTCAGATTAGCTTTCCCTCACGGTCCTAGCCAGCTCCATTTTGTTTATTTTCTTTCCTTTGGCACCACTCTAGTTCCTTACCCTTGTTATCATACTTCCTAGTCCCTCACCAAACCCCCCCCCCCCGCTTCCAAAAGAATTATCCTAAATTTTACACCCCTTATCCCCTAGACACTTGGGGTCGTAACAATTGTCAATGCTCCTTTGTTATGGAATGTCCTTTCTCTGACTCTTTGAAAGAAATTCTGTGGCTCTCTTCAAATCTATGCTCAAAACTCACCTCTTTCCCTAGGGTCTGTCTGATTGCCGTAGATTTTATTCTATGTTTTTGCTGAATCTTTTCTTTTACTTTTTTCTTTACTCACTATGTACAGCCTTTTTGGGTTTGGAAAGGCACTTTATACATAAATATTACCTGTAACACCACACAACACAAGCTGCATTTTCTCTAGCATCACTGAGATCCACAGGCCAGCTCAATGTGTTTTTAATGATTTTCTAACTCACTTTTTGCAGGCTGAAGCCAGGACAAACTGAAACCCTTGCTCTCTTTGATGTTCTTATTAGTCTCTCAATTAGCCAGAGGTGTAGCTAATCCCAAGCAGAGCCTATTATTGCAATTCCTTTTCTTCACACAGAATTTCACTCTCTGATCACGAATTATTTAGACCATCTGTGCCTCCTTTAGCAGGTTTGCCAGTTAACAGGTGATTTTTTCACAAAGCCACCTCTTACTACCTCACACCATACATTGAAACACATAAAAAAAGTCAAAGAAATTGCAACTTTGTCTGATCTTACAAGGTGTGATTTAACACTATAAATTCCACTTAAGCCAAATCAAAAAAGGAAATACACAGCATCAATTAATGTTGTCCTTGCATTTTCCTCTGTGCATTGGCATCTGTATGTCTGCTGCTAAATTTGTGATTGTATATACAATAAACAGTAAGGACTGTTGCATAGAGATCCTTAATTTGGTGAAACATATCCTGCATTGTATGAGAGATGCATTTCAAATTTGTACCATTAACCAAAACCAATGCAAACATCAAATACAGTGGTGGCATTTTCACTTGCAACACAAGCCAACAGCCATATCACTAGCCAGCTGTGAGCCTGGTCAGTACCTGGATGGGAGACTTCCTGGGATAAACTAAGGTTGCTGCTGGAAGAGGTGTTAGTGGGGCAAGCAGGGGGCGCTCACCCTGTGGTCCATGTGGGTTCTAATTCCCCAGTATAGTGACGGGGACACTATACTGTAAACAGATGAGACATAAAAGCGAGGTCCTGACTCTCTGTGGTCAATAAAAATCCCAGGGCATTTCTCGAAAAGAGTAGGGGTGTTACCCTGCCATCCTGGCCAAATTTCCCATTGGCCCTTACCAATCATGGCCCCTAATAATCCCCTCTATGAATTGACTTCATTACTCTGTTCTCCTCACCACTGATAGCTGATGTGTGGTGAGCGTTTTGGCGCACATTGGTGGTGGTAGAGGGGAGTCCCCATTACCTGTAAAGATAAAGCGCTTTGAGTGGAGTGTCCAGAAAAGCGCTAAATAAGTGTAAGCAAATATTATTATAACACTGGGGGCCTTGGTTCAATTCTGGGTACTGTATGGAGCATGTTCTCCCCATGTTTGCATTGGATTATTCCCCCAGTCCAAAGACATACTGGTAGGATAACAGGCTTCTGAGAAACTTAGCTATAGTGTGTCTGTTCTGTGATGGAGTGGCGACCCATCCACGGGGTTTCCTGCCTTGCACTCGATTCTTGCTGAGATAGGCTCCAGCTGCCCTGCGACCCTGAACTACATGAAGCAGTTTGAAAATAGAAGGATGGATGAACGAGGACAGTTGAGAAAATGAAGAAAAAGGGGACACAATTCCATGAAAAAAGTATTTACCCCCCCTTTCAGATTTTCTGAATTTCTGAGTAATTATGTTATTAGCTAGCTGTCCCTAGTTGTTCCTTTAATTGATTGAACCAGTGGGATATTCACCTTTTCACACAGGGATATTGGATGTTGTGTGATTTATGAAATAATTGAAACAATGACCACACTTTGGTATTATTTGTTCACTCAGACTGGCTTTGTAGATCACTAGGACCCACATGGAGCTCTGATATGATTCAGTGGCAAAAATATACCCCAAAAAAAAACAGAAAATTTGAAAGGGAGTAAATACCTTTTCATGGAACTGAACGGGTATTTGCTTTCTAGAAAAATACAAGCCTTTCTAACTCTTCCAAAATGACTAAGTGTGAAGACTCAGGGTGTGATGCTCTGAGTTTTATTTTAGGTACAGATGACAATGGGGTTACATTATTTGGCCCCACAGAGAGCCTCCACAAAAAAAGATGAGATTCAGGTCACAAAATGCTGACATGGAACCAGAATGAAGAAATGGAGACCATTTGTGAAGACAAGGGACTATGAAATAATTTCAGGAAGGAATAGGGGACACAGGGCTGCTGAGCTGAGGCAGAAGGTGGGAAAAGTTGAGGGAGAAAGTCAGGTGCCAACACTGCACCATGGGGTGGGGCTCATCACCACCACAAGGTCTGAAATAGGGCCACTCGAAGCTGCAAGGACCGGAGTGTGGGTACAAGCGACAGTGAGGGTTGCTCACGAGAAGCCCAGACCAGTTGAGGACTGAGCTGCAGGCTGAAGGTACAGCCGGTAATGTAGGGTGCCTAATGGTGAAAAGCAGGATGAAAAAAAAAGGAGAAACAAAAGAGTTGAGTAGGCCTTTCACCTGTGGAAGGGAAGGATTGCCAGATATGAGAATAATAGACTGCAGTGTGCAGCATTTTTGTACTAAACCATTGTGGTTGAAACCATCAGTCTGGTTAGTAACTCACTAATGGGCCAACCACTCCAGATGCTGAATTATCACATGATTTGACAGGTACATTAAGACCCTGTGTCTCATGTACCAAAGTTTTACTTTTTCAAAAAGAAGACTTCATAACCAGGATATTACCTTGTCTTTATTTAGTTTTTTTTTTTGACAGGCATTTACATCTTTTCAGAACAGTACTCCTAAAAACATAAAAAATAGACTTTTTAGCTTATAAAAAAAAGAAATATATTAAGAACCCCTTAGCTTGTCTTACAGAAGTGACATTACTTGTATGTACAGAAAGAAATGGCAGCATGCATCAGCAGGTTACTATCGAACAACACCTGAGTAGAAAAAAATACCCATGTGCTATGGAATATAGGTTATCTATATTGTACTGTTCATTCTTAAACAAGAGCTGCTATGTACACGTTACCTAAGGTGATTAAGCAAAAAAACATTGCAAATACAAAAATAAAGATATTAAAGAACTCACAGATGCAGGAGTAGCAGCTTTAAGAATGTAAAAAAGTCACCAGCACCTCTAAAATAACCAACATATACATACACATCACAGGAGGAATTTGTTGATGTCAGCGTTAAGAAAATTTTACAAAATGTCATCACACAACCAAATTAGTAGCTTTAGAACAATCCGTTCTTGGCATAATGGGGTTTATAAGAGATTTCTATATTGTCCACCTACAAGACTACCTCAGATAATCACTAAAACTTTTCTTGTATTAATATATATTGCAGGGAGTCAGCTATTCAATAAAAAACCTGGAACATTCCAAGGTTTTATTTTAAGTTTAAGTTAATTAAGTTTTTCAAAGTAATTAAAGGCTTCATCATACATATTAACACAGCCTTAGAGATTCGTTGTGCTTTGTGTATGTTACTCTGGATCATGATTTTCAAAAATGTACAGCAGTTGGTGACAGCAAGTGTAACTTTTATATCTGAGGGTAAGCAATGATTTGTATGTAGAATCTAAGTACTGCTTGCAAAAGATCTGAGGAAAAACTTGCGTTCATTACTGTGAATTAATAGAAAAGCTTTAAAACACAGCACTGCATTGATACCCTCTTTTGTTCTGTTTTCAATGTCGTTGTAGGGGTCACATGAAAATATAAATTCATTATATAAAACTTCAAGTAAAACAGGATTCATTTTTAAAAAAATCCCTTATCTTCAGTTAACAGGGCTCATTAATACTGGAGTGTGTGATGCCATTTGTAAACTGCACTTCAACACAACACTCAGGCTGCCTCAAGGAACAATGTGCAGAAGCTTAAATATTTAATCTCATTCTTAAATGAAAACAGAGCCAGATATGTAAAAACTTTCTCCTGGTGTGATCTGAAGGATGTTAAGCAAAATGAGTAGTTTATTGTGCTCTAAAACTCTGTGCGCAGCAGTCATACAATGAATGTACAAGTACAGTAATTTTGCCAGATATGCAACTGAAAATATTTTACATCATAAGTTACTCAGAACCCTCTGATAAACAGAATAAATAACAAAGCCCTTAGTATAATACATCTTCTGCAAGCCTCTTTTTTCCCCCAAAATACCCAGATTCCTCATCTGAAAATATAAATTTGGCAACAAAACGCAGTCCATGTGATGTAGCTGCCCAAGTCCATGTGCAAACCTTGCCCATCCAAAATACACAATTAGCAGATATGATTGTACAGTAAGTATCCTGCTCACAATAGCTTTAAATGGGTTTAAATACATGGGCAGTGGGTGACTTATGAGTCTGGAAACCAGTGTTGGAGTTTGGGTGAGGTTGAAGGGGGAGATGGGATGGATCAGGCTTTTTTAAAAAGAACCATTTAAAGCTTTGTGAGGTAGGTGCCACAAGTTGCTCAGAAAGGTCATAGTTCAAATTTCACCATTTCCACTGGCCACAAAGTCTTCCCTACGCACCCAAATCACCTCCTCACCACCACTTTCAATGGTCCCGTTTAGTCCAGACACGGCACACTGTTTCTTGAGCTGGGCCATTTTTAGGGCGTGAGAACTCTCCGCAGCCTTCTGGGGAGCGTCCTCTGGCTCACCCTCGCTGTCACCATCACCGTCGAGCGACAGTGCCTTCACAGGGGCCTCCAAGTCCTGCTCCGCTGCCGGCCCTTTGACTGACTCGCAGTATTCATCGTCGTCACTGAGGATGTCGGTCTCCTTCACGTCCTCTTGGTCCTCGTACCGGTGCAGGTCAAACTGCTCCTCTACCCAGCGGTCAGTGTCCGTGGCTGGGAGTGCCTGCGGGGAGAGGTCCCTGGCAGAGCTGCTGTCGAAAACCACGTCCGTGTCTATAGTGAACCGGTTCCTCACGAGCTTCCGCCGCGCCAGGGTCCGGGTCGGAGCCGACACTGAGAAGTGAGATATATGATATTAGAGGTCAGGTTTATAACCCAATTAAAATGGAGTTTCATTCTTCAAAGGAGATACTAATATTTATGCACTTCCAGTGCTCATTTACATCCATCCATTTTCTAACCACTTTATCCAATTTAGGGTCACAGGGGGAACTAGAATCTATCCCAACAAGCAATGGGCATGAGGCAGGGCATACCATAGATGGGATGCCAGTGCACATACACGAGGCCAATATTTCCATAAGCCTACCAGTATGTTTTTGGACTGTGGGAGGGACCCTGACGAAACCCACACAAACACTGGAAGAACAGAATCTCCACACAGATTGCACACCAGGTCCAGAACTGAACACAGGAACACAGTGCTGCAAGGCAGCAATAATAACCACTGCGCCACTGTGCCACACCCACATAGACAACACCAGTTAAATATGACACAAGCTGCAGCAAAGGAAACTTCTCAAGCATTTTTGGTGTTCTGTCCTACTTCTAGGTCTTAAAGCAAGCACTTAACTGGTATATTCACTTAGAGGAGTCATTCAATTTCATTGTGATGGTCAAGTTTAAGGTAATAGTGTTTTTTATATCAATTAAAAATTCTTAATCACTTTTCTATTTTTATACCGTTGGTAACGCCCTGAGGGCTATTGTTCCCAGTAAAAAGTTAAAAGAAATTAATCTACAGAGAGAAAATTGAAGATGGGAAAATTAGTCCTAGGGAATCAGACACAGCTGGGAGGCACCTGCTCTGGGTATTTAATGGTAGAAGAAAGGCTGGATTTTTAGACCCAATAGCAGAGGACATTGCTAGGAACAATATGTAGACAGAGACACTATTGGTGTTTTGGTCAAGAAATCCTTTAGGCGGAACTGGAACTGACAGAGGAATATGACTTGGTTGAAATGAAAACAGACTGGACAAGGACCCAGTTTTTAGCTCAGTTATCTCACACAAGCTGTGATGTACTGCTAGAAAAGCAACCTACAGAAGATGCCCACAATCACACTCCCCCACCACCACCCCCAGTGGGTTACTTTCCTTTTTGCTGGATGTTAACCAATGTGACTTCAAGCTACAATTCCTCTGCATACTCGGCCCCCTTGCATGGAGAAAGCATCCCTGGGACACGTTTATCGTTTGACATGCTGTGAACTCCACAGTGCCTTGTAGTGCAGGGTGGGGAAATGGGTCTTGTTCTGAAAGACTGAAAGCTTGTAGGCAAACAGTACATCCTGGGGGTTGCTCTTGCATAGCAAGCAGAGGATACCCTGCCTGACTCGAGCCCACCTCAACTCTCGGTCAGGTCAGTCAGCTAAACTGGCCACATCTGGACGATACTCCATTGGGAGGTTGAATTCTAGCAAGGATCTTCACTGTTTGAAGCCTTTAGGAACAGTTGCCCACACCATCTACATTTTCAGTGTGTTGCCATCTGTTTCTGAAAGGTGTAAGTGTTCCAAGCATCCCACATGGCCAGTCAGGCATTCGGACTCCCACATGACATCCGACACTTCCCTGGTAAAAGGTTGAGTCAACTCTTTACCTCCACCAAAATCTCAATCAAATCTTTCTTATAGCACATTATTCTTCTAATGGATTTAAAAAGACTCAGAAATCATACCTGCTCTGTTCATTACAGGCCTTGCTCCTTTAAGGGCACACAAGCGTTTTCCTCCGAAAGGTACGTATTGCTGGTTTGGTGGCAAACTCTCCGTTTTGAGGAGCTGTCTACGCTGTTTGTCTCTCAGAATTGAGTGCAGCGTCTTCAAAAATTCCTTTTTGCTCTCTGGAGAACTAGAAGACATTAAAAGACTAGAAGTTCACATTAAAAGAACAAGCAACAACATTCCTGAAGAGTCAGACATACACAATTTCCAGACCATAAAAAATAAATTGGTCACTGCACATATTCCACAGTGTAAGGCAGCAACCTACTGTCACTTTCAGAACAAGTTTTTTCCCCAAAAGTATTACAAAACTAAAAGCATGCAAGAGGCTCCTGATGCATACAGAACTCCAGGCAGGGAATAATGTGAACAAAGCAGATAATCTCTGAATCCTCACAAACATATGGAAACAAACCAAAAATCGACTACGATACATATAAAATAAGGAGAGGCACAAAGTTTAACACTTTGAGTCAACTCAGGCATTACACCTGTATTATCTGCTCATTCTGTTCTGAATTCTTTAGAAAAGTGAACTCAAGCAGTTACATGCTTTCAGTCACATGCAATTTTGAAAGATATAACAAGGGTATTCAATAATTCATAAATGCCACTGTTCTGTTATGCTGTCCACAGTGCAACATAATGGAGCCTAGTGTGTCCTGGATTTACTTCACCAACAGCTGCCAGTAGCAGTGAAAATGTGCCCCAGAAAGAGAGACAGACCTCGAAAGGCTATTAAGTAGAAAGACTAATGGCAGATGTTGACGGATACAGGCACTAACAAGTGATCAAAGAGAGACTGATGTACATGCAAATAAAGCTATATATGCTGGGTTTCCAATGTAGTCAATCTGAGAGAGACAGACAAACAGACCTATGCACTGAGGGACAGGGGAGCAGCGTCCAGCAGCCTGCCACAGGCTGGGTGCCTGTGGGACTGGGGGTTGTCACCAATTTTTTTTTCTGTCCACCAGCTTGCATAATAGGCCGCTCTCTTTCTGCACTTGTAGCACAATTTAAGAAACATGTCTTACCAATGGAAATTTTCAACTCAAAACTATCATCAGAAAAAGGAAACTGGTGATTCTATAAATCAAAAAATGACAAATGCACAAACTAAAAACAACTGTACATAGATACCAACACAGGGAAGTACATCTTACAGAGGCAGCCATTTTTTAATCTGATTCACTGTTTTTATACATTTCCCACTGCAAGAGGAACTCTTTTATTTAGTCACTTTAAAGAATGTTTGATGTGAGGAAATACTGTAGGACTTTGAATTTGATCCAATTTGTTCAAAGCCATCCCTATTCTCAAATGACAAGTCTGTAGACCTCAACTGAACCTTTAACTTCTGCTGTTCTCTTGTGTACAATGGGGAAGTTAACTCTCAGATACTCGGAGCTCTTTTACCCTGAACATTTTAATTAAGATGCACCTATATTATTTAATGAACTTTTTACCAGTAATGAATAAAACTGGCTCCCTAGCTCTATAAATGGCTATTTAATATTTCCTCTTCCTTTTTGTCAATTAACATTCAGGGATAAAACATGGTTTCAAAAGCTGAGGAGACTAGAAAATAACATTATAGAACAAACACTTAACATGAGTGGCTTTTAAAAAAATGGCTAAACTCTTGAAATCCCTTGTACGCATTACAGTGATAATTCTCACCTGCAGCAAAGATGGAAGGTTCTTTCTGGTCTGCCCTCGGATTCTGACTTCACATGAACAACCTCACACACTGTGGATCCCTCCGCATCTTTGGGCACAAAAGCAAAGTCACTACTTATAGCATCTCAGTTGCTGGACTAGCTAAAACAAATTCCTCTTTAATTTGAGCCTTCAATCTCATATAGCCTTTGTCAATCAGTTTGTAAATGGTGAAACTTCATTCTTTCACATTAACAAATACATAAAAATAAAGTAAGGACATTTCTTGCCCTTGTACCCCTTTGATCAGTGGGAAGGAAAGCATCTAATAATAAAATCCTTAACAACATCAAATGATTCAATCAGTCATCACAAACAGAATTGTTTTTGTTGGCGTGTTGAGTGGTTATTTTCTTTCGTTAGGCTCCAGAACTCCTCGAGTTCAGAAAGTCAAGAACACATCAATCAGGTCCTTCTTAGGGAGTGCAAATGCTCACTCCCATTTAACCCCTGTCAGTTCTTCAGTGAAGCCAAGTGGACAACCTTTGCTCCTGCTGGGAAAGCGTGAGAAGCAGAGGAAAGAAGAGGAAATGCACACCTGTGCTTGCCAAAGCGCGGACCTGGAGGGCGTCAGTGGAAATCATGTGGCGGAACCTGAAGGGGTCTCTCTCATCCGAGATGGAGGCCCTGTGAGATGTGCCCTGTGCCAGGAACAGAAAAAATTCAGCACGTTCATAATAGAGCAGCTCAGGAATTAATCTGGCCTATTACACAGCTCACAGGAGGATTTCGTATTTTAAAAGACTAATGACAGCTAAATAAAGCTTCTAGGTGAAGAGTAATCAGTTATCATCAAAAGACATTCCCCATGAATGTGTTGCTGTTTTTGAATAAACATGATATTTCACCCCTGTGACTTCCTGGCTTGAGTCCATTACATTTTTGTCGAGGTTCTAAAGAGCAGTACTTACTATTTTTTTCTTATGCTTGGAGCACTCTTTGTAAACGAACACGACGGCAGTTTTGAAGACTGCAAGAAAGGAAAAAAAGGTGGAAGGTTGACACCATGTCAACACTGCTTTTAACAGTCATTCTAGCATTCAGACATTTAGCATTCTCTGGCATTAGCTATATACTGTATCTATTTCAAAGAGTTTGTTATCGTTACTTTTACCGTCATGCTAATAAAATACACAGATAAGAACAGTTTGTAGAGACGACCTGACTATGCCATTTTCCTATACATGAAGCAATTACGTTACAGCAAAAGGAGTAGAGGGCAGAACCTATTGTAAATTGTGAATACTCCACTCTCAAACCTTTGTCTTCCCAAACATCTCAAGTCTCAGAACTGACATAGACAGTAATGAGGTATCCAGCAGGACAATATTTTCTACATTTTCAAGCGGTAGGAACAGGGAGTATGGGATTAAGATAACCCTACATACATATATTTATAACAAGACTTCCCTGAATTTTTTCCCTATAATTAGCATTAATGTACGCTTGCTTTTACCTGTAGGTATATTGCATTAACTGACATTTCATTAGTTATCACTTTTAACTGTCAGCTCCAAAGAAGTGATATCCTAATCTCAGAAATGAGATACTTTTCTGCTCTTAACATCAGTTTTGCATAAATATCTTCCTACTGTAGATAAAGTTAATTCCTATCACAATCAGAGAAAGGCCCAAGACCTTTTTAACCCCCTTTTAAGATAAAGCCTAGAGAGCAGGTTAAACATCTATCCTCAAAAAACCTCCAAGATTCTGGAAATAGTGCTGTCAAACAGCAGTTTTTATGAGCGATTAAGACTTTTCCCAACATACCAAATGCAGCAAGTTCTGGGTCCTTCTTCCATTTTCCTAAAGAAGCAGGGGGGTTGATCCAGACGACAGTGGTGTGGAGCAGTAGATCACCCATTGACAGATCAGCAACCTGCAACACAGACCCTTGTTATTTTGGCTTAATAAAAAGCTGCAGTGAGTCAGCTCCCCTGAGAGAGATTGACCAAGAACTGAAATTCTTTTACAGATTATTGCTGGGTGGGGGGGAGGAAGCACAAAATATTATTTAGTGATACTTAACCGAAAGTATAATTGAAAAGGCAAACAAAAAGGAAAGTTCTGAAAATCATCGCTGCTGTACATACAGTAGTAGTGTGTGGATGGATCTACTCAAAAGGAGGTTAATAAATATTTGCAATATCACATTAGTGCTTTTAAAATAGCAAATTATGAACCTGGTATCAGAATATTCCCTCACTAGTGGGAGTGCCACACACAGACTTGGGTGGTTTATTTTTATGGAATAAACAGACAAAACCTAAAAACAAATAATTTTATGTCATAAAAACAAGTAAAAACAAAACTAAGAATATTGGGAAAAACTTTATTAATCTTGTTGCATTAGGGTATTTTCCTTTTTTTTTTTTTTTTTTATTGTTATTGGAGTTATTGGAGGACCTTTTTTGTTCCTTTTTTTTAAAAAAAAATACCTGCCAGAATACAAAAAAGTTAATAATAGCCTATTTTCAGCAGTACGCCACAACAGTCCGAAGAGCCAAGTACTTGATAAGTGTTTTTTTTTCCCCATTTAAGGATATTTAGGGTGAATGTGGTTTGTTAAAGAAACTTTCACCACCATTAATCTTTTCTGATCCTCCCACTTTTCTACCTCATTTAACAGCCTTCCCCTAACCTAAAACAGTTCTACAGTCTGATTGGTCAAAGGCCAACAGAAGGAAAGCAGACTGGACACACAGTCATCTAGGCTCCCATTGGTTAGATTGGAATTTTTACTGCAAGACAAAAAGAGCTGTCACATGCTGGTCACAAGGTGACATTGCAATACAAGAACATTGCATAACTGGCAGGTGGTGGTAAAAATGGATTAAAAGCCATCATTTAATTACAAAAAGGCAGAGCTCCTGAGCCGCCTGGTGAGGAAGTTTAACCATATGGTCCAAGCATCAAGCATCAATGCTTTGAGCCCATTCCATGTTGTTGTTCACATTGACTGTGACTGTGATCCCCAATTGACACTCAGTTGATGAGCACCAACTGAGTGTCAACTGGGCATGGCTGAGAGGGTTTAAGAACTAGTCAGGAGATGCCAGGTGATTGCAAGCCAATAAGGCAAAGAGCTATGGTGCCAATAAACAAATGGCTCTAACAGCAGGGGGTGTTGGAATCATTTTAAGAAAATACTGCTCCTTTGACACATCCAGCTATAAAACATCTGATCAAATTACTAGCACCTGGGAGAAAGTTTAGCTTCTACTAAAATACAACTTTTTTTGTATTCAACACAAGCTCATGCAGATGTTTAATCCTTGGAGCAGACATGACTTCAAAAAAAAAAACTCACCTCTTTTTTCTCACCAGTCTGTTCAGCAATCAGCTGGTCAAAAACGGTACCATATTCTTCGTGGATCTTCTGCATTTCATTAATGTGGCTTGCAACTTTGTTCATGGCTTTCATTGCAACTAAAGGTAGTAAAGAGAAGGACAGACATCACATCTATTTGCATCTATGTGCGGAACTTTAGCTTCAATTCCTTGAGCTGTAGTACATCATTGAGGTGACAATACCATTGTGCTGAATTCTAAACAGGGGTAATTAGTTCACAAAAAACTGGCAGCACAGTATATATTGTAAATTTGTCTCCTGTAAAGAAACAATAGAAGCAGCATTTGTTTTAAATTAGATTAAGGGTAAATCAAGGATCTAAAGTGGTGTGAAAAAGGTTAACCCTACCTGATTGGTCCATATTGTTGTATATTTTAGACTTGAAAATGTAATTAGTTCTTCATGAAGGTCTCAATAAAAGATTAAGGTAACTAGATAAATGAAGAAAGTGAAGACATAAAACACATGTGGATTATTGAACAATGATCCAACAATAAATCTCCACATGTTAATAAGTATATGAATGCTTAGATTACTAAAACCTCCTTCAGCAGCAATTTCAATTAGGTGTTTTCTCTAGCAGTTCATCAGACACTTGCGTCCACTTTTATTAATTTGGTGTCATTCTTCCTTAGATAACTGATTCAAGTCACATTTGATGGTTTACTTGCATGAATAGCTTGCTTTCGATCGTGCCATAACATTGCAATGAAGCTTAGATCCAGACGTTTATTTAGCCAATCCAAAATGCTAAATTTCATCTTCAGCCATTTGGTCATAGACCTGCTTGTATGATTGGATCACAATCTTGCTTCATGATCAACTTTCAGCTTATTTCATGTCCTAAAGCAACAAAGAGAACAATCATCCCCTCTCGCACCAGCACCGTGTTAAGAAAACTAGGGGTTCACTTGTTTCACAAGCACCTATTCTTATTCATTCTTTATACACCATGCCTAAAACAACATTGAAATGGTACATATAAAACATTTTAGTTATCTGGCAAGAAAGGACTGCTTTCAATTAAACGAGGATATAAGAACTTGTAATTCCAGTACTTATATTGGGGGTTCACAAACCTATTTTCAGCACTGTAAAAAAGTCACGTGGAAAGTGTAACAGATATACAGCTCTCACAAAGGAGACTTCTTGATATTTATAATTCAGCTTAACCTTTTTCACTCTTGTATTAGGGTGAAAATGCAGCTTCCATTCTGAAGTACATGGGATTGTAAAAATTCCCTGCCTGGACTGTATCCTTGCCTTTTACACATTTTAACAGATCAATCCATCATTCTCTTGTCAGAGGACAGTTTCAACAGCTCCTAATTCTGGTTTATCAATCAGCTTTCACTCACACTGGAATACTTTTGTACTGACAATTAATGAGTGGAATGATAAGTTTACATACCAAAATTAAGGTATTCAATTCTTATAAAGAAACAAAGGAAAGGACATGAGCAGAAGACCATTATATGTGCATACAAGTGTTCAAACAACAAGATCCAGCAAGAACAGGACTTTTTTTTTCAGAAAAGCCTCCTGCTACAATTCTGCCTCAGAAGAAACTCACAACCCAATAGTGGGAATAAAGCTACGCTCTGCTGCCTCTGAGCCAATTTTTTTGGCAAAGCTTCCAACACATCAAAAGAAGTTTTGTATCTCTAGATGTTAAGGATACATGCTGGATATCAAGGATTTGCAAGCTCATCGTCTTAGTCACCCAGAAAAAAGCTGAAGAACAACTCTTACAGCCCTACAAAGCAATGAGGAAGGACAACTGGAGTGGGAGTAGGGTTATGGGGGGAAATGACCTTTTCAAATGATTTCAAAATCCTCAGACGACACAGCACAGTTTTCACTTTAATGAAAGCATTCACAGAAAAGTTTAAAAGGGAAATATTAGATCTCCTGCTTTATGTGAATATGTATTCAGCCACCAAGATTCATTGCTATTTGAGCCTTTTATCTTCTGGTAAATAGCAAAGAGAGGTGAACTACACCTACCCATAGTCATAGCACCAACTCAACAAAACACTATATTTGAGTGTGAACTCCTGGATTTGCAACTTTAATGGCATCTAAACATATCAGCTCTTATGAACACAGACAATGGAGTGAATATTCTTTGTAAAAGGCATTTATATAAACAAGGACATACAGAAAAGACCATCTTACATGTCTTACAAAAAATGGCAAAGTCAAACAGTGTAAAACAGTTTCCTAAGTGGACATTAGATCAAAGACTGTGTGTGAATGAAATGCACAAAATACGACAAATCTTTTAAATGGTTTCTTGGAAACAGGAGACCCATGATACAGAAGCTATGGAGGTTCTCTTTTTCCAATAAGCTTCAAGAAGTGTGTTTTCAGTGTGTGCTTGCTCTTGAGAGGAACAGGAAGGTTTAGATGAGGATAAAAAAAAGATATTGACAACTGTACGTTTGCAGGATTCCTTGAGCATCACCCCCACACAATCTGACTCTGCCAAAATAATGAACCCACCATGAAATGGACAGCCTCTCTTGGTGGCAGGCGAACAGAAGTTAGACTGAGATACTTGCATCTCATCACAGGCACAAAAACATCTCAAAACTGATCAAACAGGTAAGTCAATTCCACATAATACTACCTTCTTCAGAAAGCTTGCTAGAAGAATGGAGACGGAACAGGACTTCTTTACCTGGTCGTGAAATATTTGCCTGATCCCCAACTCCTGTACCTAAAACTCACTGATGCCCAATATGCTAATTAATAACAATAATTGCTTACACTTATATAGCGCTTTTCTGGACACTCCACTCAAAGCGCTTTACAGGTAATGGGACCCTCCACCACCACCAATGTGCAGCACCACCTGGATGACGGCAGCCATAGTGTGCTAGTATGCTCACCACACACCAGCTATCAGTGGGGAGGACAACAGAGTGATGAAACCAATTTAGAGATGGGGGTTATTAGGAGGCCATGATTGGTAAGGACCAATGGGAAATTTGGCCAGGACGCCAGGATTACACCCCTGCTCTTTTTGAGAAACACTCGGTTTTATGTCTCATGCAGAGGACGGCACCTTTTCACAGTATAGTGTCCCTATACTGGGGCATTAGGACCATAGGGTGTACCATGTGTGAGCGCCCCCAGTTGGCCCCACTAGCATCTCTTCCAGCAGCAACCTTAGTTTTTCCCAGGAGGTCTCCCATCGAGGTACTGACCAGCCTCACAGCTGCTTAGCCTCAGTGGGTTGCCAGTTGCAAGTTGAAGGGTGATATGGCTGCTAACCAGCGAGGATATTTTCGCCAGTCCTAGCTTAGGTGCTACGACATCCCTTACCATCGAGATGATAATGTTCCTCACTCTCTGGGTCAGTCAGAGAATACAGCTCCTTCAGCAACAGTGGATATTTCAGCACACGCTGGATGGGCTTGATCAAGTAAGACTCCAGCGTAGAGGAGTGCTGCTGTTTGGGATTCCGGGCATCCAGGAAAGCCTTGAATTCAGGGTCTGTTTTAGCTGAGGCCGAAAAAACACAGATTAGCATCTTTAATAATAGTTCCTTGACAGGGTCTCATAAGTACAACCTTTAGAAACCTATTAAAATAAGATTTTTCTGCAAAAACAATTTTAAAAAATTAAAAACCATTTAATAATTGGAGAAAATACATCTTTCATTAAACCTGGGTACAAGTACAAAGAACTGGAGGCTTATCTCACCTAGATCTAGGGTTGTTAATTTACTAGTTTCCAATAAAACACAACATCCGTAACTATGTGCAGTATTTTCCATTTGCAAGCCACACTTGCTCTTGTTTTTTGTTCATCCTTCACCCTGTAAACAGCTACAATGATCACACGGAAAATGAGGAGGCAAATGGTTTAAGAAAAATTGCCTTTGAAAGAACTGACATGGCATTAGTTACCTTTTACAAGAACCTTTGGGACTTTTGTATGACCGGCACAGAATGCACTGTAGATCTTAAAACGATCTGCATAGTACAGGAAGGAGCCTCCAAGAGAGAAGAGAACTTTCTGGGAAAGGAAGAAAGAGGCTGTCAGATGTCTCGTAAAAAATGCAGATTTTCCAGTCTTTAATTTTATTAATCCAAATCTGACAGTCCGTAAACCTGAACTATACTTGAAACTGTGAAGTGCAGTTTCAGACTTCAGACGTGTTAAAATCCTTGACAATTTATGTATACAAATTATTATTGCACTGCTGATATGTGTGAAATTCAGTTGTGAGCACAGTTACATAATGGTATGGAAACAAGTGCCAGATACAATTTGACTCTGTAAGCATGCTGGTGGGCAGCTTTCAAAAATACATCTTGAAATTCAGATCCCAGCAAACGGTGCTAAAAAATCCCACTGCTGCTAAATCATGAGTTTGTGCTTTGTGTCAAAATCGACGTATGTCAGCTAAGCTCAAAGTGGAATAAAGCAGAAGAAAAATATAACTTTTTACTCCTGTGAGATCACACCATTACAAAAGAGTGTGTAACCACAATTACACACTCTTTTGTAATTGTGATTATAAAATAGGATTAAAGCAGCACGTTCTTCATGAGGTAAGGAAAGTTTTTTTAATCTTTAATGTTGTTCAGGTTTTAAACCCTCGCTATCCTATGAGCAAAAGTGCTGCACAAGATGAGTCTGCTTTAGTTAATATTTCAGGCAACCAAACACCTTATTGAGCTCTAACAAACTAGCAATGCTCTCAATGTGTTTTAGGAAGCAGATTGTCCACATTACTTTAAACTGATCCACTTTTTCAAGCTTTTCCAAGTCAGGAACCAGCCTTGTCCCATCTTCAAGTGTTTTAAGAAATTCCACCTGGAATTCTACCATTTCGGCCAAGTTCCCAAAAAGCACATCAAGCTGTTAGAAAAAAAAAAACAAAAATAGATCAGCTGCACAACTCACTTTGTTTTATATGCTATGCTGTGGAAAACTGCAAATCCAAGAAAGGGGAAATCTTTAAAGATATTTGTATAAACAATTACAACAACATTTTGTTTTTAAGAAAAACTAAACTCCTTTTACAATCAAAGTTATAATCAGTACATAAGAAAGATCACGAAAACTAGTCCTCTTGTAACATCTTTCCTTAAACATGTATTTAACACTATTTTAACTAATTTCATAACATAGTGTGACCTGGCAGAAACCTGGATGATAAGATCCCAAAAGGACAGCTTTAAGAACATTTGCCTTCCTGCTTGACTCATGCATGCTCTTCTTAAAAATGTTTACATTACATTTTTTGTTCCTTTAAGAACTAAAAAAAAATCAGTATAGCAGGGATTCAAAAACAACAGAAATAATCTGGTATCCAGCATGTAGATCTCTCACCAGAGCAGACCATCTCCACCCACACACTCCATTTAAATACTAAATAATTTTGCAGAAACAATCCTTAAAGAGAGATGGAATATGACTAAAACATAATGACGGCATACCTCATCCTGTGTCAGAAAGCTTTCCTTCTGCAAAGGTGTTAAATACCTCTCAATAAGGCAATTCAGATCCTAAGAAATAAAGAACAATAAGCATGGTTCATTTTCAGTCTTAGATAGCATAATTGTATAGGGAAGTGTGGGGAATTTCATTGGCATACATGACTTCATGATTTCACAGCCATAATTACAATTAGCTAAAACTAGTGGCTATTTTTAGTGCACAAAAAAGTCCTGGATGTTTCATGTTCAACAATGGTTTTTGTTGTATATCAAATGCAGCAATAAAATGACCATCCTTGTTAGTTTTTCCTCTACATATTATAGAGGCAGGGAGAGAATGGACAGGATTCTGTTGTAAAGTAGTTTTAAATTAATTCTACTTGACAGAAAAGCTAAACATTTACGGAACTTTGTCTTGGAAGACCGAATCCTCTCATTGAAAATTAAACAATGAGACCTAGTATATCAAGAAAGCAGCAGCAACACATATCCAAAAACTATCTCTTATGAAATATCCTTTGTACTTTACACCAAATTGCCAATAACTGACATATGGAAATAATGGAGACAGTGGGCTGTAATTTAAAAACTTTTATACTAATTGTTCCACCCAGTTTTCCCTGATCTTCACTTTTCATTCTATGAATCTGTCCTGCGGAACCAGAACCTGTCCATACTCGTGTCATTAGTACCATTGTGGATCTTCCCAACTCTGCTAAGGGTCCAGTCCACTTGCTCAATATCTCCAAACTGGGAACCAGACTGACAAAAAAACACTCAGGACCAGTCATGCACACTACACTGTCTAGAGCTCTTATATTTATTTGAGTGCCTCCAATACCAATAACTCCCTTGCTAGAAAGCACAGGCACCACAGACCCCTTTAGTTTCCATGTATGTCTCCAAGCTGCTGAAATCAAAGACCACTTCCTCAATTGCTGGAAACAACAGAATACAGCTGTTTCTAAATTTGTCACCCCTGTGCGGAGCATGCGTCTTTCTCTATTCCTGTCGTCAATTGGTCCCCATTTTCTGTCTCTGTTTCGGCTGCAGACATCCCCCTCCCTACTTTTGGTGTGCACACAGTCACTCTAAAGTTAACTAATTTCTCAAATTCCCTACTGTTGTGAGGGTCAGACAGTACATCCTCAAATCCAGTGTATCTGAAGTCAAAATATTCAAGTAACAATCGAAATTCACAGGTGTATTCTCCTTCAATGCCTGCATTTAGAAGCCATGCATAGTGTTAACCATCACTAAAATAATTGTTCATTTTAAATACTGATCAGTCACTACATTTAATCTAACACATTTAAAAGGGAGATAAAATAGGTTCTTTATTGTAAAACTGAAACCTGGTATAAACTACATCCCTTTACATGGGGAAGTAAACTAAACACACAATTATGTATTTTATTTACTTTGTACAAGTGCTTGCATAAAGTTCACCACAGTATACAAGTAAAAGTGGTCTAAAAGTGAAAAATATTTCAAGCTTCATAATTACCAGATCAGGAGCAACGTTAGAGATCATACTGTGCAGAAGCAGAACAATCAGCAGCCGGACAACACTCACAAGAGGACCCCTGCCTGTGCAAGCTATGCTTGTCTTTTAAGTAATATTTAAGCAGCACATTGTTTGTTCTATGCTAGCTGTAAATGTACACAACGTCCCACTTAGCTCTGCATTACCTGCACATTTAACAGCTTCACAAACATTAGCAGGGTCCAGAACATACAGTTAGGAAGAGCAGCAAACATTGTATCGACCTCCAAGGTACTTCCTTACTTCAGAGCCCATTTAGGTTTCTTCCACAAATAATACACCATTTTTGCACATTAGCCAGGCTCTAATCCACAATCAGACAACACCTTGAGAGTTCATACATCCTGTGAAACTTCAGGAAACTTTGCATGGATACTTAAATACATGTCTATCATATCTGTATGCTTTATGTCTAACAATACAGTTGGGAAAGATTTTCCTCTATCAAGCTGGACTACCTATATCTTATTAGGGATATTATCAGGTAGAAAATAAGGTCCATCCAATATAATACTGACTTTGACATAGGTCCTCTCGGTTTCCACCAGCTCACAGATGACTTTCCGCAATTTGTCAGCATCGGAGAGCTGTCGCAGGGTGGCAGGTGGAGGGGCTGAGGAGTCTGGGCTCTGCGGAGAGGATTCTGAAGGATTCATATCATGAAGACTGCGGCAGAAAGCTGCCACCTGCTCAGTACTCTGGAAAAAAATGACAAAAAATGGAACATTAAAAACTTACCGCCGACTTCTACAAAACTACAAAAAAAGCCCAATGTTGAAATACAGATTAATACGGAGAGAATTCCATCACTGTTTACATAACTGTCATACAAAAATTCCTAAAAAAAACTGCTTTGTCACCGTCGTTTAATTGGGATGCATAAGTCCTTGTTTAATGAAGATGAGAGTGAGAGAAGCAAAAAACTCATTTACACTCTTTTGTTCTATTTTCAGCCTCTGTCGCAACCAGCTCCCTCTCTTTCTTCTGTGGTGGCGTATTGATCCTGCTGCTTCACTCGTCCCAAATCAAAAGAACATATGAATATCCATCTATGGACAGTGTTACCTTGGTAACGAGCGCTGTATTCTGCGGTGGCTGGTTTTATTCTTTTGAAGGTTATTTAGTACTGAACTTGACGATAACAGGGAACTACAGGCATAAAAAGTGCTGTGCAGCAGGATATACAAGTACACCGCTGATAGAACAGCAGCTTCCTGATGTTTCAAGATCCCATGTCTGTACTGGGCGGGAGCCTCTACAAGGTTTTATCGCCTGGAGCATTTTCTGACAACCAAGTGAAGTACAAGGGAAAATAGCAATTAAACGAATACTGGACTTTTCCCCCTGCCACCAACAGCTTGAAAAATCCATGAGGTGTTTTATTTTTAGCACCACAAACTCAGCCCAAACCACATTTCCCTCCGTTACATGGTGTGACATACTAGCATTTTTTTAGGCCAGCAGAGAAATAATTCAATTGTATATGTGCCCTCAGCTTGCCTCAAAGAGCCTCAAGTCTGAAGCGAATTTGACGAATTAATCTGAAGTTAAAGATCTAACTGAAAGTTCTGATGAAAAACAAATCTGGAAAACTAAAAACAAAAGTGGCGTTTTAAAAGCCAAGCATTGAATAACTTTCATATCCTCAACTGTAGGTCATCCTTTGTACTCCTTGTAACTCCTCACTGAAAAGCATCTTCATTTTGATTTTTTACAATAAAAAGCTCTGCCTTTTACACCCTCATTCCTAATGAACAGATAGGCCTTAATTAGTTAAAGTTAACATTATTACAGCTTTCATCCCAATTCTCTCAGAAGTCCTTCACAGACACTAAAGGGGGTGAGCGTTTTTGTCTAAAGAGCAGCTGGAGAGATCATATAAAGTAAAACATAAATGCACAACATCCTCCACAAAGATAAAAATAGAACACAATACAAGTCTGAGTGTTTTCTCCTTCCTGTTGAGGAATTGGAATGGATTGTACACCCAACCTACTGCTTCCATGGACAAATCTGATAGAAAAAACATATGGTTTGTGCAAGAAACTGTTTTAAAAACTGGATCAACACGTGAAAAATATCCAAGACCACAACCTCATTGACAGAGGACTTCATAATTAGATATCCTAGTTAGGTCAAAACAAAATACCTCAATCAAGACTTCAACTGAAATCAACTTCTCATTACCACAATTGGTGCATAAAATTGAGTTTAATGTGTTTGCATCACCTTCCCTAAGGTATTACACATTTTGTATACACATTTGAAGAGGAAATTAAATTTCTTAAAGAGATTAAGCTTGTAATATGTTTAAAAAAATGGACTTAGTACAAGCCTCTGTTCCCTAGTGCTTTCAAAAACAGTTTAGAAAAAATACAGGAGACCCACTTGATCTCTGGAACTGGCTCACTCATCTTTATTGATGATACTAATGATGGTGGCAGAAAATCAAATTTTGAAGTCTGCAGAAACATTCTGTCTGCCTGTTTAAACGAAAAAACTTCCCTTCATACTGGGTGGCCCTTTACCAAGTAGCATGACAATGGCCCAGAATATGTAACCAATGCAACAAAGGTATTCATCAGGAGAAAAAAAAAAGTGGAAAATCCTAGAATTGTCAAGTGCTTCCCCAGATTAATAATCCATCTGCGCAGGAATTTTGAATGCTGAAGAACCAATTGAAGTCCAAAAATCTCAAGAAAAGGAAAGAACTCCAAGTGGATCTAATACACAAGCAATTACCCAATAATAAAACTTGTTATACTGTTATAATGTTGTTCTTTCTCATCTCTATCACAAAAACAAATTGCTTTACTATAAAAGAAAACAATGAGGCCCCTGCATAAACAGTATATAAACCAGTTTCAAACTTTCAGCCTTGTCCAGTGAGTTGAAAAAATCCTTTACTACAAGATCTCCTGGAACGCACAGCGGACATGTAAGAAGTCTATTACACGTGAAATCAACAAATTGTTTTGTGCTCTCCTACCACTTGAACGTTTAATAAATTGCAGGCTAGTAATGAGCTCAGGCCACCCCTGGTTTCAATTATGCAAGTTTTTTAAATCATTTTCACCCAGCTGTGAGAGAGTTACTGGTTCACATTTGCAATCTGATCTGGGCTCTTATTGGGTGAGCCACTGGGAGTCTGAAGGTCATGGTTTTACAGCTGTACTGTCCTCAAGGCTAAGAAGCAAATTGGAAGTCTACGACATTTGCCAGTTGAGAGAAACTACATTTCCAAATGGCACTCTTTGAACACTTACCGTTTATTAAACTTCATCAGCTGCACAATGTTAAAACTGCAAAGGCAAACACTTAAAAAAATCATTGTCAAAATAGCCAATCAATGAGAGACTGATGCTTTGCTTCCTCCACAGGGAGGAACTAAATGGATTAAATAAAAGCAAGAATGCAAGACCTTCACTGTAATAAATAAGGAGAATAGCCTATTCCATCTGAAATGCATAGATAAGAGTAAAACTCATTCAAGAGTGGCAAACTAATAAGTTCCCAAAGTAGAGTGGCTTGAGGCTTGAAATCTGCCTCCAAAGTCACATCAGAATTTGATGGTAAAATGGTGACAGACAATTCAAAAAGTAGGATGGCAAATCTGTATTGCAGTTCTTCATTTGATTAAGAATTCTACAAATCTTTTTAAGACAGTTAAGTTGTTATGGCAATTTAATCATAATAAAACATACCATCAGTATTCATTCTCGAGGATACTTGACGATCATATATTTTTTTTGATGATTGTAAATGATTGGACCAAATACTTCTTCTCTTAAGATTGTGGGGGAAAAAAAACATAACAGCTCAAGTTCCTGACACAGGCCCAGTGGTCTGACCGGTTCCATTATGGTTATTCCACATATTCCGGTAAGGGTGCCGACTTCCTAGGTTTGCACTTGTGAACTCATTTAACAAATCATCAAATGTGATGGTATCCAAGGGTTTCACATCGTGACAATAAAAGAGCTGTAAACAATCAAGGTACTACAGTTTAAAAAGAGTCTTGTGGATAAGCCTTAAACTGGACAGAATTTCATTCGATGTTTGGACACTTCAGTTGTACATTTTCAAACTCCCCTTCCCTGCAACCAGCAGAAATAAAAGTGATTATTCTTTGTAAGAAAAATACGTATTTAATTGCAGTGGTTAGCATTGCTGCCTCATAGCTCTGGGGCCCCGGGTTCAATTCCACATGTAGGACGCGTGTCAGTGTGGAGTTCGAACGTTCGCACAGGTTTTCTTCAGGGACTCAGGTTTCCTCCCACAATCCCAAGACATATTGGTAAGTTAAATGGCCTCTTGGACAACTGACCCTAGTGTGTGTGTGTGTGTGTGTGTGTGTGTGTCTTCCCTGAGATGGACTGGTGTCCCATCCAGGGTGTATCCTGCCTTATGCCCATTACTTGCCAGGACAGGCCCCAGCTCCACCATGAAAATGGATTGATGGCTTACTATGGTACAAGCATTTTTATAAGGATATAAAAATGATTGAGGTATAATACAGATTAATTATGACTGTTTAAAGGGAGAGCAATATAAAGAACAATTAAGATATGCAATGCAGTCAAAAGTAGATAATTGTTATTAAGGGAAGTTAACATTACAAAATGCTACAGTACAAACTAAATTAGAATATTGCATTCACTTTTAGTTACCACCTTAAAAAACACTGTTGGTACTTTGGGCTCAATGTCCTACTCTGACAGAGAGGACTACAAAGGTACCCAATTAAAGTAATTACATCTCTAAAAAAGCACTAGAAAAGAAAGGCCAGCTTACTTCAGAATCAACAGTGAAACAAAAAACACAAATGAAGGTAAAAGCAAGAACAAGAGACTTTTCCCTTTCACTAAGGTTTTGTGGGAGTCTGGACCAAACTACCCATCCACATCACCAAGGCTGGATGAAGTAATCTGATCCATTAGCTACTCATGATCTAGATGGGCTGAATGACCTCCTCTAGTTGGTAACCTTATGTTTAAAAGGACGAAACAATCTGTGACAAACTAAAGTACATGCGTAGCACAGCCTTGAAAAATCATGAGAAGAAAAAAATACCAAGTAAATTCACCATCAGAAATTTAAGTCTGATGGGAAAGAAATACTCTAAAACGGCAAACTTTGATGTCCGTTAACAGGCAGATAGGATAAGGACAAAGGAAGAAATGCACATTTTGCACTGAAATGCACACTCCTGTTTCTCTTGTAAATCAGACAGGTCGAAAAGTTACTCCCAAATCAGAAAGCATTCTACATTCAGTGGGAATCAGTAGTATGATTTTTTTCTGGTGTATAAACATTTGTCCCTCACAAAAGCAACACCATTTTCTTCCTCCTCAAGTAAAGGTATCATTTTGGATAATAAAAAAGCTTATTTTGTCAGTGTGACGTGAAGCAAAATAAAACAAATGTAAAAATATAGGTGATATCCATCCATTTGACTGAATAGATTACTAGACTTTTGCAAAATCAATATTTTTTATAATATTCTTCATCACAAAAGTCTGCTAAATTTATTTTAAGTTATTTAGTTAAGTTATTTTACAAATGCATCATCGTTTTTGGAATTATGACTTACAGCCTTATTTTTGCCATTTAAAAGCTATCATGATTGAATGTTGCACATCAGACTGTTGGTGTAAATGTTAAAATACATTCATATCAAAGACAAGTACGCTGAATTACTCCAATTTGTATTCCATAGAATAAAAGTATAAAGTAACACTTTCATAAGCAAGATTTTTAAGACACGAGGAGTTATTTACTGAAGTGCGTTTGACATTTATTAAAAGCATGATATAGATATAAGCTAAATCCTGTTCTGAAAGGTTTCTAAAGACAACCTGGAAATGACTGAAGAATCACAGCTTTTTTTATGATGAAGTAATTGCATTCTTTACCCTGGTTACATAACATTTGGACCCTATCCAACTGAAATCCTGTCTGAATTTTTCCAGGCCTCTGACAGCATCTTTTTTCAATACCTGACAGTTATGGCTGAGAAAGATGAAAAGAACAGAATTGAGGTGGAGATATACACATGAGAACAGCAGCCTAAGACAACAGCTGAAGCTCAACACAACACATTCGTCTCTGTCACAAGGCTAAACTGACACCTTAAGAACTTCATTGCAAATGTACAACTGGTTGCCTACAGTGTGAAGAACAATTTGTAAGTGCTAAAACTGCGTCTCTGAATGCACTGCGGCAATACCAGTGCAATACCAATTTCAGCTGGCATTCACTGACATATCCAGGGCAATTTAGATAAATTGTATCAATTAGACTGCCTTAAAGCTGAAGAGAAGAAATAAAAAAAAGCTCACCAGGTGAAGCATATCATAAATGGATTCAGAGGAACGCTTCCCATTCTGAGAGCCCACTCTCTGTTTGCTTTTCCTGAGAACAGACATGATCAAAGACTGGAGCACAGCAGCAACGGATTAACAGTCCTGATCAACATCAGCACAAGTCACGGCTGCTCTCTACCGTGTTTCATCACACACGCCAGCCTGTGGAGACGGGCATTTCTTTGCCCACCGTTCAAGTTCTCTATCAGCCGTCGAAGTGTGTGAGCAGGCAAGTTTTCGGTCTGCCTCTCTCGTTTTCTCCTTGGAAATCCGGTTCGAGAGGCAAACGCTACGTTGCTGGCAAACTCCAGCGCTGTAAACAAGGAATAATCATGTCCACAAGACAGCGAGGAACATGAAAGGAACGGGGGGGGAGGTAGGTGGGAGGGGAGGCAGCTAAAGCTGGCAATGTCACTCGCCCCTCTCAAGAGCTGTGCTTCAGACGATTGGCTGGGCACAAACTACAGCAGAATATAAATATGTGGGAGGCTGAGACTGCAGATGGAAAAAGTCCTGAACAGAAAAGGGGAAAGCTTTCACAGTACTCATTTTAAATGTCAATGGCTAAAGGCACTAGAGAAGTGTAATCCTTCTACCACAGAAAAGTCTAAAGAATCTTATTATGAACTTGTGCAAATCTACGTAAACACTGTGCAAATAGTGACCTAGCACGGCAAAAAGGGCAAGGCACAGGATTGTGTGCAGAAATGAGTTTCTATATGCGAGACCCTGTGATGTCTAGAGTGATTGAAAGGCAATGGATGACTCGCCTCCCTTTTCAGGAATCTATGCAGGAAACATTCAGAAAGTCTAAACAGGAACTTGCAGAGCATGCTGAGAGAACTGTGGTTTAAGGGAAAAATTGCTATTTTAGCAAAGAGAGGGAGGGAGGCTCTCCTGGTAATATGTATATACCGTACAAATGTAAACTATAAACCACATTAGTCACCTTGCAAAATAGCATGGAATAGAATTCCATTTTGTTATTTTTTCCAAAGAATATTCCAAATATAAACAGAAGCACCTCAAGACTACCTTGAATTACACCCCATTTACAGCCTAAGAGAATAATTCTCACTATACTCTTTTTTTGACACGTAGTCACCTGTGATGAATAAGCTCACACCTCCACTACCTCACTTGTAAAACTAAACAAACTACGGCCTTCAGTAACATACACAAAGCAAGCAAAAGGTCCAAAATATTTCTGAGCATTTTTTTTTAAAGAACAAGCATCATTCACTGTCTCAAACTTCAAGCATAGACAAGCATTTTGTTTCTGTACAAATAAGGTATTTACATAATGGATTAAAGATTAATTCATTTTTGCACAAACTATGAAATTTGGCTAAAACTATAGAACTGTAATTTTACACATTTACCACAAGATGCAAGACTGCAAAACACAAAGGCTAACAAATGAAACAAACCACATACCAAAGAAATTTGAAAACATCCAGGTAAACTGAGTAAAACAATTCAAAGAAAGAGGTGGGGAACATGCCTGCAAATAAGCTCTGAATCTTTTAAAGATAAATCAGAAAGGAAAACTGTACCTTCTCCAAGAATCCAAAAGATAGTGAGTCTCTTTAGAGCTGAACAAAATGCTTTATGAGGGTGGGGAGAGCAAGTTAAAACTTGCAGCATATCATCCAAAGTAAAAAATTCCTCGGGATACATTTCACACATGAAGTCATTTAATTCTAAATTATTTTAAACTAAGAAACATTTACTCTTTAAGGCTAAAATATTTTATGCTGATAAAGACACTTGTGTAAAAAAACACATACAATAACTGATGGTTGTGGAACCTTAAAAGCTCTCTTTAATTGATTACCAGCAAGGTTAATACTTTGACATTGAGAATGAACATTCAAGAGCCTGGCTTTGACATAGTATGTTGCATTTCTACATAAAGAACAAAATGCGAAGCTACCAAATAAAATGAAAAGGATACACAACAATATTATAAATTCTACTTACCTATTTGAGTGCCTTTTTGAGAATGCAATGCTAAAACACAAATGTTAATGTTGGCACACTAACAAGACTCCAGTTTACAGCTTATCACAGGAAAAGACTTGAACACTTCTATCTCATGGGTGACAGGAAAAGTGAATGCTTCCTTCTCCGATTAACAAAATGCAGACATGGGTTTATTTAAACAATTTTCTTGTTCCAGGAGTTTTAAAGTTTGCTCTACAAGAATAATCACCTAATCTCACAAACCATCCAAACTATTAATTGCAATCTACACTAATTTCTATAAAGTATACATTCTCCATATTACATTAAGACCCACAGACAAATGAGTTAAGGGAGGCCTACTTAAATTTCTGTGACTTTTGTTTGTGTCTACAAGTACACAATGTATGTAATTAAACCTTTTCCCAGTTATCAAGTTTTGACTAGATGTGTGCAGACTGATTTCTTCTCAAAACCCAGGTGAGCAAATGACCTCTTCTGCTGGTAAATTCTCTCTTTAAAGGCCACTTAATAGGAAACAAAGCAGGTGTGGACAATGATATTTATCAGTTTTGTTTAGGAAACAGGCTGAAATGGTTAGACTGTGCTTTAAAATGTTTTGCAGATAAATGACTTGAAGATCATATTTGGTTTTTAGGAACATTTTTGTACAACACTCCTGTTGTGTTTTTCAAGTGGTTCACAATTTTGTAAGAGAACAGACCTTTTACTTGTCACAGCACAGCCCATTAGGAGTCTTATAGTGCATCATCCCACTTACTTCTTTTAATTGGCCTGTTGCTGGTTCAGTATGTCCCTGAAATAAGCTGTTCCAGCTGGATCGTCTGCATGGTTGCACTGTGGCACTTCTAGCAATTAACAAAAGTAGATATACCAGAGTAGCTTCCTCTGTTCAAACACCCTGCAAACCCAGACAAACTTCGACTGGAATTTTTCAAAGTCTGCTGCAGTTTCTATTTGATGGGCTCTTCAGCATGGCAATTAAACTCAACATTAGCAACAAAATAGAGGAAGATTAGTAACAAGATAACTGCCGTCTCAACTGCCAAACGTTCAATTATGCAGCCCTTAGCACAGCTAAAGAACAGAAAGAAATGTTGACATATTCAACAATTGTGGAATACAAAATCAGCAGGTGCATTGTTTCCTTTCTAGCTTTGCTACAGTCAAGAACTGCAATATCGCAAAAGTAAGATAGTCGAAATAAACAAGTTATGCTTTGGTATAGAGTACCAGTATTCGGATCTGTCATGACAAATCCTTCATCAAGAAAATCTCTTTCAATCAGGAGAGTCCAATCTGCTGGTCCTGGAAGGACAGAGTCTGCAAGATTTCTAGATCTCTATAAAGCAGCAGCACCTGAGGAGATGTTAAGCTGGTCCAGCTAGTAAAAGCTGATTTTAATCATTAGGGGCTGAGCTGCAATGCAAACCTGCAGACACATTGGTCCAGGATTGGATAGCTCTGTTTCATATAATCAAGACTGAGAAAATGGCTCAATTAATTCAGTTTAACCAAGCACAGTCACTGACAGCACAGCTGGAAGAAAAACCTGCAGATCCCCGATTTAGAACAAAATAATAATATTGATATATTGAATATTAATAACAATATCTGAATAATATTATGCCCTGAAGGACCAGAGCTTCCTTTATTGAACTAATTACATGCTTAATTGATTAATAACTCAAATCCCCTCCTTACTACAAAAGACGCAGGACAGATGCTCTCTGAACTGAAAAACAATAATTCTGTCTTGGTTTTTCCAAGCTATTTAATGTTCTCTGAATCAAATCTGATTGACTGAGATGTTGTTTTTCCCCCAAAATTTTGCCTACTCTCAGTTCCCCTGCCCCATTTATTTCCCGTTCTTCATCTCTTTCTCTTTTACTGCATCTTTGTGTCAAATGTTCGCATTTCTGCTCTCGGGATGTAATTATCCATGACTTTGTGAGAGCCACTTCGGTTGTCAGCAGTATTTTTTGTGAAGTTGGTGAAGTGCTTATGAAAGGCCAGAGCTATTTCACAGACTGAACAGCTCATCATATTCAGTGTACACTGTGACACTCACAGGTGAAAAGGAAAAAAGTTCTTCTCAAAAGGTAGGCACTTCACAGTATCTTTTTTTAAATATTCTGTAGTTACTAGACTTTTAAAACGAAGAGAATAAAAAGATTAAATGAGGCTAAAATGCACACTTTTAGACTGATGTATTTCAGAAATGCAGGCTTTGAACTGATTTAGAATAAAAATTAGTTTTCTGCATTCTTCTGAGTGGCATTCTAAGCAGATCATAAACAGCTGGAGCTGCCCAAAGCTTTGTAGGTCTCTAATCAGATACCTTAGATGGATTATGGGTTAAACCACACATCATTGATGGTTTAAGACCCTAGCTGTGCTGGGCTGGCAATATTTTTTAGGAGCCCATGCTGGCCCCAACAGGACAAAATGCTCAGGATTAATATACCTCACATAATCAAATCCCAACTTTCAGTTATCTGGTGAATCCAGGATTTTACTCCATCCTTCTGAAAGCAACTATTTTCCTGATTGGGTGAATGGGGATATGACATGAGGAAAATATAACAAAATGCATTAATCATCAATCTTTAATCCTTCCCCCATAGTGTAGGGTAGCCAAGTGAGGATACTGTCTGAAAACAAATGGGAGAAAAGGCAACTTGTTTTGTTTTGAACAGAAATGTAGAAATGTCAAAAGAAGTCAATTACTAAAAAAAATTAGTTTTAGGAAAAACAGAGATTTGTTAATACTACCTAATCCAAAATCGGGGTGATGTCTCCTGGCAGGAGGATAGACTGGGTAACTAATTCTGAGGGTTTATTGTTGCTATTGTACAGATTAATACTGCAACCAATTTAATGATATAAACCTGCTGGGTTGAGACGCTTTAGGACAAAGGTTGAAGACCCCCGATCTAGCGCAATGAAAACATTAAAATTATTTTAAGCAAGATAAACCTGGAAAATGCTTTCAAAGAAGTTACCTCTCAATAAGTCTGCTATTGACGTACTTGACTGTACATAGCTCATTGCTCTCTTTCACAGAGCTCAATCCTTGTGTTAGTACATCATAAAAGATGCTGAGCACTTAAGAGTCTTAGGCCTGTATTTTAATATTTGAGGCATTGTAAAGCCTAAAATCCCTGCACAAAATTATACTGAAGTAATGGGATTTTTTCAAGATGTATTTCTTTCGTCACAAACAATGGAATGGCAGAGACAATCAAGTCAAAGTGGAATCTTAACCAGTGAATAGAACATTTTTCTTCTTCTTCTGTCATTCCAGTTTTAATTTATATTGTAGTCGTGAACTACAGAAACGTAGAGAAGGTCCACTCTACCCACAGTGAATTCTAAAAAAATCACTAAAGGTTCTGCTACATTACAACAATAAAATAAAAGACAACTCATCATCTTACAAAGCCAGTTCAGGTTAATATGCCCATAGAATGAACACAATGAAGAGTAATCTCAGAAACTGGTTGAATAGAAAGTACTGAAAGGTTGTATGTTGCAACTGTAATGGCGTGGTCAGATAATTATAAATGATTAATTTGCACAATTATTCTTTTTCAAATGGAGCTCCCACACATCCGTATGAGAATGTAAGTTATTTTCAGTAGTCAATGTAAAATAATGCCCATTTTTGGTAATCTGACAGATTTTTTCTGTTTACTATCTATTATCTTCTTACGTCTTACTATACCATACTATAGAAGAAAACTGTAACCACAAATGGATAATTTCAGTTCTGAGAATAAGTTTTCTTAAAATCTTTTTTTCCTATGCATTTTTATTAATAGGAATTCTGAAAAGGGACCGAAAATTCCAGCTTGTTTCTTGCATCTTCTTAAATTCAGGTGGGTCTTACATACGATATTGACTACAACTTCCTATATTTTTAGCTGGGGTTAATCCAATTATAAAAACAGGAACAATAAGTGTCCAAGATCCAGAAACATTATCAACAGAGGTGATTCCCTCTAAACCTTTTAAAATAGTTATCCTCATATATAAGGCTCCAGCAAGAGCAATAACAAAACCATGCTGTCTAGGTTCATACTAGAGAAGCAATACTAAATGTGGGTGTAGTCTTCATATCAAGTTATTCTTTCACTGTATGGTAAGTGAAATTGTTAAACCTAAACATGAAACAAATCCCTTTCTTCTCTTCAAGTTTACAGCCTTCCAAGCCTTTGAAGATTGCATTTTGTTTACCGTCTACCATTTACACTACAATTTTCACAGATTCTGTTTCACAGCTGTCTGTTACTACTAAAATATACCACAGGAGTGTAGTTCTCAGAGTTCATTGAATATTCTGCTGGAGTCCTGGGCCTTACCCAACACTCACACACCTCCTGGTGTTTTAAATTTACAATCAGCAGAGAAAAACTGAAAATCCTCATGCAAATATTAAACATGAGTCAGTTCAAATGCCAATTCTCTGTTGTCGCTCGGAAGGCTGGCTGTGTGATGTGACAGATTTTCACTCTTATCACCATGAAGAGCTAACTATGTATTTCTTTTCCCCCCAAATGACTTATCTTGACCTTGTGTGCTGTTTTGTAAGGTCATTCCTTAAGAATTTGAACTGGCCTAGCATTTTAATTATGCTTTGGCTCAAATTAGCATTCAAATTGACAGCACTGCTGCCTCTTAAATCTTGGGTTTATTGCTGACCTGGGGACCATCTGTGTGGAGTTTGCATGTGCTCTGCATGTTTACATGGGTTTTCAGTAAGTGTGCCACTCTCCTTCCACCTATCAAAGTCGTGCTGGCTAGGTCAGTTGGCATTTTTAAATTTTCAGACAAAGAACTGAAGTCCCATTCTGGACCCTGGGACAGCTTCCAAGTTGCCAAGAGCCTAACCTGGAATAAGTGTCCTGTTATGGATGGATTGAAAATTGCATATACTGTACAAAACTATTGTATAGTCTTTTAGTTAAGTCACCCCCCATATTTTTGTTAACTCCACCATTTCCCAAATGTACAGTACAGAAATATCAATATATTTTTGGGATATGTGATTTAAAATATTTATAAGAAGTAAGTATGATCAATCACTCTTAAGTCTTTTTTGAAGTGTCAGAAAACATAAATTGCACAGGCATCCTTTGACTTTGCAAAAGATCTATGTCTCAGACTGTTATGTATACAGTTTATCCCACAGTAACTTACAAAAAGCAAAATCAACATCACAACAAAGGCAACAAGGGAAAATTGCACTATCCATCCAATTAATCAGCCAAAGCAATTATTCCCTTTAATAAAAGGACTCCCACTCTGTTTACAGTGTATGGATGTTACAGCTCATAGTTGTCATAAAAATGTACATTCAAATAGAGAATATAGTATCGAACATGCACTCTCATTTAAAAAGCAGGCAACACTAAAGGTAATACAGTATATGAGTTAATGCTGACCATTTATCAGAAATATGTTTACATCAGATTTTTTCTTGTGCAGCCCACGTTGAATAAATTATGGTGAGCGAAAACGAGATTTATCTTGCGGCAGATGGCCTTTTTGAATACAGACCAGAAATGCCAGCTGATTATTGATATTTTTTTGCAGAATGCTGCCAAGGAGAGTGTCAGAGACAAAGACCGAACAGGCTGATGACACTGCAGAAACCGTCTACAGTGAAGAACAACGAATAAATCTGCACGTTTTTTTCCTTGTAATAATGTGGTGTGGGAAATTCAACATTATAAAAAACTATGAACTTAAATGTGGCATGTTCTGGGTTTACTTTTAGGAGACTATAGGGAAGAGCAAACTAAGATGCATTCCTTATTTTATAAGGATTAACATGGGCAACTCAGGTGTCCTCCTTCAACATTGTCCGTTTAGAATTTATGATTTCAGCTCAAGTGCAAACTATTTTTTAATAAACAGCAAAAAAAAAAAATCAAATGTCACCATGTATTGTAGCTTCATGTGAAAACACAAAAAAAGAGAGGGAAATTCAGATGATGCATACTTCCACTTAAACTATTAAGATGAGGACAAAAACACACTTGTTCTTGATCAGGTCCATAGATCACATACATCACTGGCAATGAAATGACCATAACACCTCATTTAACTATTTGCCCAGGCTTGGTAATTCTGTCAAAAGCCATCTCCTTACTACAGCACTTTAACATGGATGACAGACAACAAAATGCAAGCAAGCAAATCCAACATGCATATTTCCACATGTGCAAGCAAAAACCATGGGTTTAGGCTACTGCAATCATGCATACTTCAGAATGGCTGATCCTATTCTTCTGATGACTTGCAAAGGTTATCGCTGCTTTTGTCCCTTGTATCGGCTCTATTTACCAGCTATCAGCTAACCGACCTTTGGCAATTGAATGGCTTGGGCTCAGAGCCCCTTTCTGTTCCCATGTTATATTCAGCCTTGTCACTGAGCTGCCTGACTCTGTTCTACACTCCTTGTGCACACTCCCACATCCTTGGGGGAGGGGGACTTGTGACAATCAGCCGATATAGCCGTTAACTTCTCACATCTGCTGCTGCTTCTCAAGGATCTTCATCAAATGCCTTGAAATTAAAGGTCACTGAAATCAAACGGAGAGAAAAAACACTCCCTTATGCTTTCAGTGCACCACTTTCTGGACTTCTTTATTTGTACTGTAATACTAAAACTAAAACAGGCAGAAGCTGGCCCCACAATGCCAGTATGCGGGCCTGTACAGATTAAACACTTCATGCAGTTAGTAATGTAACTGCAGATGAAGAGTTTGAACACAGCAGGAATGAACACCAACGTATCTTGTCATTAAGGCAACACAGTTGTTATTTTTTTAAGACCTATACTTTTAACTCCTTACCTTTCTACTTCAGAAAATCAGACATCTATACATTTGAATCTATGTTAGTGCAATACTTCGCTTCCTTGCCATCTATGTATAGGTCATGAGCCCCCTGAGAGATTTTACTCTAGCCCTGGTTTAATGTATAGATGACCCACCAGAAACGTCGGAGTCTGGGCAATCAAAAACTCTCTTACTCACTGCTCTGTTTTCAAGAAATACCCCGTTGGATTAGAAAATGTAACTGTAATGTCCTAAGCATGTTGTTCTCCACTTCCAGAAACCCAATGGTAGTGTGTAGTCAATTATTTAATCATACTCTTTTAGAAAACTAAAACCAATAAAAGAAAACTCTATTAAACAGTCAAATAGCAGAAAGCTTAATACTAATTAAAGCTGACACTCAGTTTGTCGAGGTGTATCACATCCCACGCTCACCCGCTTAAGTTCTACAGCTTCACCAGAGGGCTCCGTTTCATCCTCAAGACTAAGACTGTCTCCTGGGCTCCCCAGGCAGAGAACTGCCCCATCATCAAGGATGTCTTCTGGAAAAAAGCAAATCAAAATTCCCCAGTAGTTAACATGATGTATGGATAGGAATGAAAAGTAAAAAATGAAAATGACAAGAGCCATGCAATTCACAATTCATTCACAACTCACAATCAAGAATAAACAGATTCATACCACTAACAATTAATAAAAACGTTGAATACAGATTGAGACACTGGCTGAATTTATTAGTAGAAACTGTCCTTACGAAAACATGTACAGCTAGACCTCATTTTGTCCATGCAAAACATGAGATATTATGGTCAGATGATATTTCTTTCTTAAAAATGCTCAAATTCACCTCCTTTTCCTTTTTAGGGTCTGAGCTAGTTTTCTGTACGTGTTCTTCTGTGATTTTTATCCCCCCATTTTATAACCACTTCATCCAACACAGGGTTGTGGGAAAGCAAAACACTATCCCAGCAAGCAACAGGTGCAAGGCAGGATACACTGTTGACACGCATACACTTACACCAGGGCCAATTTTCCCAAAAGCCAATCAACCTACCAGTATGTCTTTGGACAGCAGAGGAAACAAGAGCACCTGCAGGAAACCCACACTAAACAACACCAATGCTAACCACTGTGTCACTGCCCCAGTATACATTATATTTTGTATAAATTAAGAAAATAAATGTTTAATAGAAAACAGATTTAAAAAGTCTTTGAAAAGTCTCTAATATGAACTTGAGCTTTCAATATATACAAGAATGCTTCATTTAAAAAAAAATAGTAATTACTGTACAATATTTGCTCTTGGAATTCTCCAGCACAGCTATTCCTGCTTCTTCTATTGACCATATTATTGTTTATTTGCTTCCCTTTGCATTATAGTAAAGGTTACATATGCATGTAGGCAAATACTGAGACAAACTGGATCAGAATCCGAAAACACAGGATGATTGCTTAATTGAGCTGCAGTTAGATTCTGTGGTGTTCATCCTATGTAGCCCCTTCTTTGCAGTAATGCAAAATGTTCCGCTGTCTGCTTCATTGCGCACAGGTGAACCTTGTTTCCTCTAACCTTGGCTTTGAGAAAATATGTCTGTGCACTGTTCATCCTCTCCATCTGAGCGTCGCAGGGGCCGGGAGCAGAGCTGGTGCTTTTCCACAGCAGGGACTGTACTGGTGGCCAAGGACAGCGAAGACTGGGAAAAAGCCGCCTTCATGTCTGGCAAGATGAGGCTGCTGGAATCTTTGCCATTCAGATGCAGAATTTCATCGCCTGATTTTAGACCTAAAGAAAATACCTGGGAAATTACTTTTTTTGCATGGAGCTATGCTTCTACTTTTGTAAAAACAAATAAAAAAAACTGGACATGTCCATCTGTAGTTATACTTCCTAAAGTTTAAAACCTAAAGAATAAACATAACATAAAGTGTGTTCCAAAGCTTAACCCTTAACAGAGGCTTTAAAGAAGCCCAGAACAAAACCTAAAACACAGTTTCCATTTAGTGAAAATAATACAATTAATTATAATTAATACATTTGGAGTCTAGTCATTCAACCAAGCGCTTTGAGAAGCCACCTTTAAAGACACTGTATAAACTAAAGTTTATTATTATTATTATTATTATTATTATTATTATTAGTAGTAGTAGTAGTAGTAGTAGTAGTAGTAGTAGTAGTAGTAGTAGTAGTAGTAGTATTATTATTAGTGACAAATTTAATCTACATGGGTGAAAATGTGCTGCTTGTTTATTGGCAAATTCTGCACAGTAAGCAGCAATCTGGAGTGAAACTGATGCAAAACAATGAAAACTTATTTAAGACGCTGTCTTCCACTGCTTATGCCCATGAGAAATCTGTACTCTGGACAACAGGTGAAACGTTTAATCAAAGTACCTTTAGCAGATGCTAATCCGCCATCCTTCACATGTGTGATGTATAACCTCTGCACACCCTCCTCCTCCACAACAGAAACAGAGAAACCTAGAAAGAATATTTTTGAAGCATATTAAGTATAGAAGTATATTTAAACCAGCTCACAACAGTGAAGTCTAATGACATGATTAGAGCTTTGGGCCATTAAATACCTAATTCGCACCTTCAAATTGCAAATCTCACCCGCACACTCAAAACCTTCGGATTTCCAGAGCTTCCCTTTCAATTTTATTTCCATCACCAAAGAAGACAAAAGCGAGGCAGTGTACATGTGTGGGAAGATCTTTAATTGGCCTCGCATTCACAGCTGCCCAACTCTTTTATGACTATAACGCTCCACTGTAGGACTTGTGTCAAATGAATGTCTAGCAGAGGCCAATTTGAAGGCTTCGTCATGCTTTATAAGAAAGATGTACAGCAGTTAGAAGCTTGAAAGATGTTTTATTTGTCCAAAAGCATATTAGAAAAACCGAAGCCTAAAGTTCATTTGGCTTTTATCTCAATGCTTAAAAGCACGATTGAATACACAGAAGTTGAATAGAATTATAACTTCTGCAATTTTAGTGTTGTAGTGCAGGAGTGAAAAAATATTTATAAATACTTGTGTCCCTTTCTGTATCAGAATGTGTATTAAATTAACGGACATACTTGTTGGTACTGTTTTTCCCTGCCTTGCCTTTGGAGTCAATACCATGCTTACCATAACCAACAGTGGACGACTCATCACGGTCAAACTGGACCAGGTTTGTAGTTTTGGAACAAATTTCGATTTCCTTGTACAGCTGCAAGGAAAAAGGTTTGTGGATTAATCTCATTATTATAAAACAGTCAGAAGGGACTCTTGATTAATTCATGTTCTTGTTTGTGGTCACAGTAAGAACAATGCTTTGATCTTTCAAACTCTGACATCTGTAATAAATACCAGCTTGGGCCCTCTGCGTCACAATATCGCACAGAACAGGATTTTGCACATTACAAGGCTGTTAGAAGGTTGATTGTTACTAATGAAGACGTGTGCAGCTCCCATTTTGAGGTGAAGACCACATTTGCATTAATAAAAAATAGTCTAATAATAGACTCACTTAGAAATGCAGCCTTCTTTGTCATTGACAGTAAACTGTGACAGGCTCCGCAAGAAAGAGAGCCAAAATTTCACAAATTACTTCTCATACTCATAATGCTGCATACTCAATTTATTACTAGTGATTAACATTGACCTGTTTTTGGACTTAACATTAAACTCTCTGCTTACATATGGTTTTCCTGTTTACAACTGTTTTTGTGCAATATATGCTAGGGACTTGTGCAATATAATTTTATATTTATAATGTGCAATACAGCTTTTTGAGTACTGTTCTGTTTTTTTTTGTATATTCTTTACTGTGAGCAACTCTTTTTACTGACTGTATTGTATGTACTGTATTGTTGTATTACTGTATCATTTCGTTACACTGTGCTGTGTTGACTGTGCTAAGCTGCTGTTGCTCTGCAATTTCCCTCACGGGATTAATAAAGTATCTATCTATTAACAAGCTAGTTACCACTTTCCTGGATACAAAGTTTCATTTAGAATGGGGATGCACATCCATTAACATTCACTTAGCAGGTAACAACAGAGCACCTCACATTAAGTTTCATAATCTTGCAAAAACCTATTTACTGCTTTTGCACAATTTATTGGGGTCTCTTTATACATAATCCACACATCCATTGTCAGAAAGCTACTGATCCCTGGTGTGGATCAAAACAGAATACATACCAGGTCAAAGCAACTCTGCAATGAGTCTTAATCTTTACATAAGGAGCTGCAAACCAGCAGCAAGAATAAATAAAATACCTAAGGAGCAAGTAGTCATGGGAGACAACTGCAGAGATTTGATCTTAAAAAACACTCTTAAGACTATTGCATCTCAAGGTAAGAGACTGTGGAAAATGATCGCTGCTCTATGATATGGCTGCACGTTGTTTCTACATTGACAATTCAAATTCAGATGTATTTTTTCACTGAAATGTGAAAAAGGCATTATGCTATTTTTGCATCAGGCTTTGCCTTAAAAGTGGTGCTTAATAGTACCAGCTGTGTTGCTAAGCCACTTTCTGCTCTAACGATGCATTTCATATGTGGGCGACACCATTCCAGTGTTTTGCATTTGCATTTGCAATATTTGCAGCTAACTAGTAGGTGGAGTGGCTGTAAAAATTTCCAGTTGGCTGTACACATACCTTGCAGTGACATAAATGACAGGATAACCTAATAAACGAGTTTTAAGCAGTGCTAGTCTAGCCACTTCTACATTAATGGCAATTTTTCAAATAAGGTTCCTTGCATTTCAAGAGCTACTCAGATAAATTCAATTTTATAATCTGTGACTAACTTCTTAAATCTGGACACCTAACAATGCCATCCTTGAACTTCACATCCTTACTACTAGTGTTATGTGTTCATATTCATCTTGTTAGTTCTGGCCAGGAACACCAGCACAGTCCTACTCCTCAATGCACTCAAAACGCAACATATCTAACTACTGCCACCTAGTGACTGTCATAGTTAACAGCATTTCATTATAGAAATATCAGTGCTCCAGGTACCGAGGGAAATGGCTTGTTTAGCTTTCTTTCATAATACATCTTCACTACATTTTGGTTTCCTACAGTAATAGGTTTCTAATGCAATTATAAAGGCATTTGTCTGATAATACAGATGACCATCACAAAAAGGAGATTTCCAGAGCACATACAGTATGTGTTATTTGTCTATCACCTCAAAATCAAATATCAAAAAGTAACAAGTTATAATCTACAGAAGTGGGAAGTGGAAGACAAAGGCTTCTGTTTAATGCTTAATTCATTCTGAACACAATTCAAAAATTACATTTTCTACTAGAGATTAGGCAGACAAGTAAAAAGGCGATATCTTGAATGAGCTACAAATATAGTACTTTGGCTTGTTAGCTAAATTGCAGAGCAGACATTAGAAAAAATTCTTTCCATGTCTGTATATTTAAAAACTTTAATTTACAAGATGCTATGCACTCAGGTAAAAAAAGTGTGATCCTTACAAAGAACTGTGCTTCAGCAGCACTCTCACACACCAGAAGGGATGTGTGAAATATGTCAAAGCTGACATACGAAGTACGCTTGGCTAATCTTCAGTCATGGAGTAAATGAGCTTGACAGTGCTGCAGTAGCTACTGCTTTCACTAGCAAACAGTAGGGGACACAAGTACAAGACCAACAATTTGATCTTTAAAGAGACATATCCTTCAGGTAGAGAATCTAGTGTACTACGAAAAGATAAAGCTATCAGAACTGACCCACTTGCAGCTATAACCCAGGTAGATGCTTGTTTATAGCTTTCATTGCTATGGCACTGAAGTGTCAGGCTATACCAATATAGAGAACTTTACACACAAGATAGAGGTCCCCTTGGATACTTCTCATATTTTACTCCACAATCCATTCATAGCTTTGCATTGTTGTAATAATGTCACTTAATGCTGTCATTTGCCTACATTAACATATCATTTTCAGGTGACTTAATGAATGATCAAACAGTTGTTAACATTAAGCTCCTTTACATATTGACCTTCATAATGGTTCAATGTTATTTTGTAATGTACATGTCCAAGTCTGGGGTTGGTATCACTGGTGCAAAACGTTCTAGGTGGGTTTTTTCTCCCTGCCTAATATTTGGAGGAGCATAATACTTATTTTCACTCATTTAATGGCTTATTAATAATATAAGGATTGAGTGACACTTTTATAACAGTTTGGTCTCAGCTGACATTTTCTAGATGATGCTTTTTTGTGTAAGTACTGTACATTGAATGTAAAGCATTCGAGAAAAACTGAAGATCTGAAAAGTGAAACAGCCACATCCCAAAGGTCGTCACAAGACGAATTTCTGGTTAAAACAATATGAAATTTCAAAAGCTGTCACCAGCTTCTTAAAGAGCATGATGCATGAATAAAAAATGTGCTTACATAAAAAAGCTTTCAACCTTGAGTGTTTGAATGTAATGTTTTTAATTTTGACCATACCAAAAGTTATATGCACACTAAAATTAGTTATTTCTCTCCTTGGAAAAGTGACGTTTTCCATTTGAATGAAGCAAAATTCTCTTGAAAGTATTAAGATTCACAATGCGTAATGTGTAAATGTGTGACAGGTTAAAACTGTTCAGTTTTAACAGTGAACAACTAATATAAAGGAGTTTAGATTAAAACAACAGTTTTCAAATATCAGTTTCCATCCATAATCAGATTAATTTACCAGTTTATGCATGCTTACCAAATCACTGATGTCTTCCTCTAGTTTGGGGTTATAAAATTGCACTTGGTTTTCAATTAAAAACTTCAGCCGTATGTAGTGTTTGGCAGGATCCAGCTGGTGAGCCTTAAATAAAATCAGTGAGAACATTAGATTCCTCACCAATTAGTTCATGAAATCTACATGCATTACAGAACATTTAACATAAATAACAAACACATCAAACAGAGCCATACATCATCACTCTAGAAATGAATTAAGTCAGACCATTCACAAACACGAAAATCAAATATCTAGCGAAGCAGTACCTCCTATTCCAGGTTTAAGACTTCCACAACGCACGCTGAACAAAATGTCTAACAGTTGGCAAAGCAGAAGTCTAATCAGATTTGTGAAAATTCAACACTCATTTGGAGAGTACAGAGAAACCTGTAATCAAGATGATACTGCTGGATATTTGATTGTTGGTTTTAGAACAATTACTGTACCAGATCTGCCAGGGTCTTAATTCTTGTGGCGATGTGAAATGATGTTGATCAAACAATCAAAAATGAGAATTTAACAAAGCATGATAAAAGAAAAAAAAAGAGAACAAAAAATATGAGATGTCAATAGGGAAAGCAAAATACACATTGAAAATGATCTGGTATGACCGATGCATTATTCCTAAGATGGTACAGAGAAAGGTAATTCGTGCAGGACATACAATACTGTGCAATAATGTGGATGGTGAATCACATCAGAGACAGAGGGTGGAAATTGTGAAGAACATGGAATGTATTGGCAATGTTTTACTTCACAGGATGAAGTACTATACTATTACTTTCACTTTTCACTTTCAATTCAAAAAAGGAATTGGAAGGAGTAGGAAGGAAATGCCCTCTATATAGGCTAGATACTGTAGTTTCCCAATTTAAAATGCAGCACTGCGCAGCGTACTCATGATTTTCATTACTACAATAAAAAGTACCTCCTAAAGCTGTTAAGATGGTAAACAGTACCATCTTGACTTACTCAGAGTTACACAAATTAGTCTTTTTTAACCTACAGTCAAATACAAAATGTCTTTTCTGGAAAATGTTTTGACTGTGAACTGCTAGATGCTGCCAGATGCTACCATGTCCTAACTAGAAGGTGCCGGTCTGGGCATGATGGTGACCAACAGATTAACTATCATGAGAATGACACCTTCCTTTGTTCTCCATATCCCAACATAAGCCAATCAGCCTGCGGGAGTGGGAGAGATCACTACTGCTACAAACCCTTTGCTTTACTCAAAGGGTTTACCTGGGCCAATGCCAGCATTTTCTACAGGGAATACAGCTCAGCGCAGAGCCACCTCTTTGTTTTTTGAGCTCTTTGTTTTCACTCTAGGATTGTTCAACTGTGGTCCTCATGGTCTTTTATCCAACAGGTTTTATAGGTCTCAAGAACAAGGAAAGGCCAATAACAAAATAATGAGTTCAATTAGGTAATTACATGCTTAGGTGAAGAAAACCAGGCTCTAGGACTGGCATTGTACCCCCTTGCCTAACCCTATCGTGACTGGAGCCTGTGATGCCGACAAAGTGAGATGTCAAGATATTTGTTTCTCTTTCTTCCAAGAGGTGGTATCAAACTGTAGGGAGAACTCCTTCTTTTAAATCTTTAAATCTATAATTTAAAATATTTCTTTTAAATCTGTAAAGGTGTTTATGTCCCGGGTTCAAAAGAAACAATAAAACATATTATGCTTCAAAAAAGGGAGGAAAAAATACATAACAAGAACATAGAACATTGAAGAAAAGTAAGAATTGAACAGGAATGAGGTACAAAGCTCAGACAAAACAATGCAGGCAGCGTTAAATATTTTGCTTTTAAAGTTCATTCTCTTGAACCACAAATCATTCTGCTTGTCAATCGAATTTGCAATAACTTCTCCATTAATTTAAGTAATGGGAAAACTGAAAAGGTATAAATTATGGCAAAATGAGTCAGTCTCTTCACATAAGTGAAAATGTAAAATTCAGGTGTACATAATTACACCAGCTGTATTATTTAGGACTTGAGCAGAACAAGAGTTCTGGCGAAACAGGAGAATTGGACAATGATGATGGGATTGTACCAATATGTGCGCCAGTGGAGAACACTGCACAGCTGAAAAAAGCATTTTTCAGCTCTGGATCAATATAATATAGTACATTCAGGAATTTCTTAATTGAACTTTTAAATTATTTGACAGTGTATCTGTTTAGAAATTAGTTGGGGCATTTTAAAATGTACTCTTAAATAGCTCCGAAGTATACATCACATATAGGATGCTTTAAATTTGATTGGGTTATTCAAATGTGAAAATCTGTGCATCTTGGTGCAATGAAATTGGGTGCATATGCAAATAGAACATTGGACACTGCACAAACCAGAGCACACTAACATGTCCACCAGGGGGCACATGTTGTATTTGCTATGGTATAAAAATTATATTTCAATATTGCAATGCCTGTGAAAACAGAGCCTTCTAGTTCATAGTTTGTGAACATGGCCCCAATTCAATCACAGTCTGGTGTTTAAAAAAATAGATTCCTGTTAAGACATATGCTGTAAAAAACACAAATTAAAAAAAATAAAGTGTAAAAATACAGCGTAAGCACAAAATCATTCCACATATGGTCCACATATTTTCATCCTGCAGAGAAATTTCTGTTGCACTGGTTTCATAATGTCCTGTAACACGTAATGATGAAATCTCATACCAGCTGTATGCAATCCTTGGGTTTTATATTTAACCAATCTAAATCATAAAAAATGCAGTAGATTTTCTCTTATAAGTGTACTTCCTAATTGTGTGTTTAACATATTAGTTTTAAATGTGAACACATTAATCTCAAAAGGACTATAGAAAGGCTATCGGCCCCATCTTGCTCAATAGGTTGTTAATATTTTACTGATCATTTATTGAAGGACAATGAAATACAAGAAATCCATTCTGTATTGTAAAATGCACTGTTAACATAGAAAAGTTATACAAGCTTACAAAGATGAATAATGTCAGGTAATCCATACCTTGCAAACCTTTTCAAGAATGTCAAGTGTGGAATCCTCGGGCTGGATTATTGTTAGTACCGGCTTGTCGTTGGGGAGGCAGACCCAGGAAGGAGTGAGGTAGTCAGGGACCCAAATTTCATTGTCTGCATTGCGCTGGGGGAGGCTTTTCAAAGACCCCTCACTTTCCTTCTGCAAAAAGAGTAATTCTGTGAGGCATACCACTTTATCTTGTTATTGCACCTCTTAAGTCATATATTATGGCTATATAATATAGGGCCACAAAGCGGTGGCACTGTGGCTAAGGACCTGCGCCTGTGGCTAGAAGGCTGCCTGCTCAAAACCCTTGGCCGGCAGAGGAATGCTACTCCGTTGGGCCCCTGACCAAGGCCCTTAACCCCAACTGCTCCAGGGGTGCTCTACAATGGCTGATCCTGCACTCTGACCCCAAGCTTCTCTCTGTCTGTGTGTCTGTGTGTCTCATGGAGAGCGAGCTGGGGTATGCGAAAAAGACGAATTCCTAATGCAAGAAACTGTATAAGGCTAATAAAGTGATCTTATCTTATCTAATATTATGTGATAATAAACTATTTAGACACACTGATTTAGTTTTCAATTTGAAAAGGTGGGCAAAGGGATGTTAGCCACAAAATACTAAAGATCAAAATTAGTCACAATACTTCAAAACGTACTTCTCCGCATAAGATATAAAACTTGGCTACTTTTACATCTTGTGCTATATTCACAAAGAAACTAAATGTCAATTAAGTGCACTGATTCAGGCTGATAAATTGTGATTACATTAGACCAAAACTATCTATGTCTTTTTTCTTTTATTCCCTCTTGCTTTTCTGTGCTCAATTGTTGAAGAAGGGAGTGACCGTATGACCCTGCACACCCATTCACTAGTGTAGTAAGTCTATTATTTGGTTATTTGCTTATCGCAAATCAATGTCAGACCATTAAAAGCAGAAGGTTACTGCCTTTCACCTTCTCATTATCTGTTTAGTCTACTGGTCATCTATCAGGTCTCTTAGATCACCTGTGTCCTTTGATGATAAGAACACCACCTAGAACAAACAGCACAAACCCAGACACTGACAGCTTCCAATTATCTGACCCTTTTCACCATCAGTCTTCCTCACAGACCCAAATAATTCTAAAACCAGGAAGTCAAGGTCTTTTTGTCAGCTAGGCCTCACAATTGTAAACAGAAACAAGACTCATGTCGTGCCTCCTGTTTACATTGGCCGCTTTTAGCATGGCTCCAGGTCAGCTTAGTGTAAACACAAAGCAAAATCCCTGGTTCATCCTGTCTGGCCTTAAACTGATCTTTGGTCAAAAAAAGTCACATAGTGACATCCTCTTACCCTCAGTGGTGAAAACATAGCCATGGGATTGAAAAAAGAAAAATAGTAGCCTTCCTTAGAAATTTGACTTGTGTCATTCTTACCTTAGTTTCTACCTGTGATGCTCTCTCCTATATTGTGGTCTGTTTCCTTAGTTTGTCGATTTGCTGAGCTGTGCTCCATTTTGTGTGAGAAGACTACATTTAATTGTGAATTTTTAGCTGGGATAATAACTCTATCAGTACATAAGAATGGTAAAAAAGGAGAGAAGATCTCTCTGTCCATCTAGCCCATTTGGTGATAATGGTTTAGTAACAATGGCAAAGTATATTTTCTATTTTTTGATTTAGGAGTTGAACCTTATTTTTCAAGGAGGCAATTAAATGGCTTCTAATTAAGTACATGCGAGTGCGTTTTTTTACCTCAGCCTTGGGGCCATTCAGTGTAATTTAAACTATTTAAATGATTAAATCACTAGCAGTTTATGGTTAAGATGGCTAAGGCCTGAAGTCACACATTTAAGGAGGCAATCACCAGATGAAACAATACAATGCTATTTTCTTGTGTGTTACTTGCTTTTGAGAACTGAGTGAGTGTATTTGCACAAAAAAAACCCGGAAGATGAAAATGTGACAGTTGTCCCTGGAAACCACACAGGATGTGAAACAATGGAGGAGCAATTCTGGTGCCATCTGGAGTCCAGTGCTTTATGTTCACTAAGGCAGCGGTAGATCAAAATATTTCACAGCAATGGAAATATTGGTATCACAAGCCAACATATGATGCTAACTTTTAGTACAAACACAGCATTTTTTTTATTGTGTCAGTTCTGAAAATGTCTTTGTAACCATTTTTTTAAAATCAATTCAGAATCATTTAGTATGTTATGTGTATCTGTCCGTTTTTAATATATTCGATATGCCCTGGAAATTTGGTACGGCTGAAATAAACCACCGAGACATTTCCAAACAGAAATTGTTTCTAACCGATTTTGCTCAAATTGCAGAAGGACACAGGAATCAGTGCAGCCCATCAGGAAGAGAACCGTATAAACAACCCTATTCGTATAGGAACAAATGCAACAGAATATTATATTTTCCAAAATGATATACACACATAAGATGAAAGGATAAACAAGAAATAAGGCCTCAATTTGGATTTGTTTTTTATTATATATTTTTAAATTGTTTTCTTCTGAATATAATGTTTTGCATGGGTTTGCAACACCCAGTAAAATCTGATTTTAATAAACCAAACTGTATCCCCAGATTTTCTGAATTCTTAAACCTAAACATCAGCTAGTGTCCTGTTCCGCTTCTTCCCCAGGATTTCAAACAATTCAAAATGATTCAAATGGTAAATAACAGATGGTTACCACGCTTTCGCTTGCTGCGTCTTCAAACATGCCGTCCAGGGATGTCTTCACTGACTCCACACCATCGGTAAACACCTGGAAACACAAGTTACTTATGGGACAGGAATTTCACTAAGACATTTATTCAAGGATGCTATGGAGTGGGCACCCACATGGCTATACTGTTTGACTAAGGGATTGACATTTTCCACAGTGCTCCACCTCCCCCCCTTCCAAGACACTCACACATTAAAAGGGATGTCAGCGCTTTCTAAACACCATTTTCATTTGTTAGTTTAAATTGGGAACACCTAGTCAAACAGTTTAAAGCAGCTTTTATGAGGTAAAAAGGGGGTCCTACTACAGCAACAAGCATCTCTTGGCCTGGTCACCATTGGAAATAAGAATTTCTTTCAAAGTGACTTAACTTGTTAAATAAGAGATGAAAACAATAAATATAAACATTACTGTTCAAGAATATTTAATAGATTTTCAAGCCCCACCAAGGCTACTCCTAGCAATGACCCAGCTCTTTTCTCAATGGGGACCTCCAATGAAAACTACCCAACCCTTCCTTGCGTAGCTTCTGATATTTTTTTAACTTCAGGCTCCACAGGGAAGAGTACCATTTTGGGAGACCGCGCAAGAATTCAAACCTGATTGATGCTGGGTCGTCCTTTTGTCTTCTTCTTTGAGGTAGTGTCCAGCCCCCAGAGAGAGGAGAACCTGCTCTTGCGCTTGCTGGCTGACCGAGACATCGCCTGTGTCCTGCGTCTCACCCCGCTTTCAGTGCGTGCTGCCACCTATGACAGTTAAACACCCATCAGCAACAGGGGCTCTACTACAGAGCCACGCACAACTGATGTAATACTACAGATCCTCGTGGACAGAAACGCACAGAGGAGCAGACAGATTTGGGTGGAACAACATCTTTTTGTGCTGCCACACCAGGACAAACACTGAACCAGTGTTTGTATACTTAATTTGTGGCTGAGCTGCAACAGGAAAAGAAAAAGTGTTTTGGAATGATTTTGGAAGGCTTTCTTTAACCGTTCCTATTTGCATTGTGCTTCTTTACAACAAGCAACAGAGGTCCAATATCTCAGAGTCTGTTTAGTAGAACCCATTAAGATTATATTTCTTGAGCTGGCTGTCCACAAGGACGTTGATGAAATGTGGCATTTCTAGAATAAGCCATACAAAGAAAACCCTTTCTGTGTTGTTGTTTTTTTCCTCTTATGCATAATGTATCCTACATGAAACAGAAAGAAACAGTCATTTGCTGGTACCTGCAGGACTGTAGTCGATTTTCATGACTGGAACAGTAACTGCTCCAGCTTCTGAAATATAAGCTGTGCACCGAAGAGTAGCATTGTTCTACAAATGAAGGGGAATGGAAGATGAAAAGCTCAAAGATGAGCCTTTCTCTTGGAGATCCTGTTGGTCAATGACTTAGCCTCTTCTCTGAAATAATTCTCTACCGTAAATGGAACTGTAAAGTGCAACTTGAAGATTACTTTTCATTTAAGTGCTTGCACAGCTGTGTCAAGGAACTTCTCTCTCCTTTTATTTCCTGTTGACTGATTCTGGAAGTTAAGCTGCAGCACCCCCACTATCCACTATAGGCCCATTCATACTGTTGTAAAGTTTAGGCTATATTTTAGGAGGGGATGAGTGGTGGGATACACCTCCTGTATTTCTCTCAAAATCCAATGTTAAATAGTTAATTATTTATTTCTTATCCAATTAAGACTAAAAGACCTAATAGAACCATTGTAAATGTTACTAATTGCCCTCATTTCTGAAACTTTAGTTTATTCTTTTCATTACTGTCTGTAGGTTGGAGAGCTGCCCTGGGGATATTTCTGAATAAGAGTGGAAGCTGATCCACTTGAAACAAGTGTAGTGTCATCTCCTTCGTGTAGTCACATCAAACCTTACAACACCCACCTGGGTTTGTAGTGACATATGTGCAGTAGCTTGAGTGAGAGCAGGAAAACAACAACACAATTGATTAAATAATTCTACTGTTCCATGAGATAAATTATGATGCACTTTTTTTAAGCCAACAAGATTTCAAGTGAAAATCAATTGCTATACTAGCCTTCTGAAGCAAATGCTCTTTACAATGAGTAGGACCTAAATTATTCACTTTAAAGGCTAGAAAGCTGTTGAATTCAAACAGGCTTCCATTTCAGTTTGGGAATGAGTATCTGCTGTTATTCTAAAAATGCTGCCTAAAATAAAAAAACAGATTTTAAATAAACCATTCTAAGGCCAAGGTAAAAAAGATAACTAGAGGACTTCCATACCCGTAAGTATCTATTGCATTTACAAAAATGACACAAACAGCAGAAATCTGATTTGGAGTTGCAACATAATTGAAAGAGAGGAAGTAAATCTTGCTTTGCCAATTCAAGGACGCAATTCTTTTCCTGAGAATGGCAGGTGCCATCTTTTACTTTTGTAAACACCAACTGCAATTTTAATCTTTCAAGTCTTAGGTTATTATGGCATCTTTTGTTCTTCACCAGGCTACTGCATGTTTCTTTTAACGACCAAAAAAGAAAGAAAGCCTATAAAGAAAATAAAACATCCTAGAAAAAAATCCATGATAAACTAATTTAATTACCGCAATATCCATACACAAGCATGCGGATTACCAGGGAAATGTATGGCGAATGACACTTAAAAATGCCTCCATCAAGTATCACAGCAATAAAGTAAAGTGATCCAAATGGCACATGTGTGTAATGTGTGAACAGAATAGTTCTGCTTTATTTGAAGAAATTAAAATAACTAAAATTAGAAACTGAGCCCAGTAACAATTAAGCTACTGTAGCCTATATTAACCATGTAAAGTTAATAAACAAGGCAGTTCGCAAGGGGCATGTAAATGTCACAGCTCACTGAAAGAATGCATCTAGTGTGTGATATGTTGCTGTTAAATTTAATCACTGTCAGTTAGTTTAACTGTTTTTTTATTTATGGGGTATTAAGGTTATAGGGTGAAAACCTGCCCATACCATGAAACTTATTCTGTAATCATGGAATTGTTAACAAATGACAAATATTGTTTAGCTTTTCATCTTATGATGTGAAATATTTTTGTTCCTCTTTTAAAAATTCATCCAACACATTTCATTACAATTTTATTTCGCAGAGTGTTTGTATTTGTTACCTTTGGATTTACTTCAACAACACTACATGTTCTGATTTCAAGCAATGTATGATCTGGATGGATGAAATCGATTTTGTTTTAATTTGATTCAAGTTGATTAAAAAAGGGAATAAAGCTACTTGAGTAGCTTAATTACAGCACAATGTACTTCAGTGCAGTTAGTTTTTCCAGCCACTTCACTAAAGGTTTTCTGACCTTGTGAGAAAAAAGCAAAATAATGAGTTATTAATTTTGTAGGTTCATCATAAACTACAAATACATATGGCTGCTAACCATATCACCTAATAATTTCTGAACTTAATGTACCCACAGAGCTGCCTGAAGCGAACGAGAGATAAGGCCCCCAAAAGGTCAGGTGACCTGGAAAAGCTCCCCTTACAGGTGATGCTTAACATCAGCTACTGCCAACATGTTGATATATGACAAAGGAGCTCAAGTATGCACTCAGTGGGGTATTTGCACTTACCAAGGCATGGAAGGATGAGACCGAGAAGATACCGAGGCGTCCCATGGCAAGTTTGGTGGGCCGGCTGGCGAAAGCGAGGAGCCTTTTTGGGTTGGGCAGCTCCCCTCCCTGAAGGCTTGACAGGTAACACCGAAACCGAAACAGATCCATCTGAAACTGTTCCAGGTTTTGCTCCCACAAAAAGATCTATTAAGAAAAACAGAATAAAGCTACTTGAAAACTGCTTTGAAGAGAGCATGTTGTACGCTAATTTCAGTGCAGACTGCAGAGCATCCTACTAAAGAGGAGCTCCTCAAAAGATCTCTGTCTATTTAATTGTCTCAAGATGGATTTGATACATTTTTTTACAACACCACTAACCTGAAGACAGTATTACAGGGGAACTTCAGTCTCAACTTCTCCTACCGGTAACTAAACCTGTGATTTTACCGCTAACAAAAAACATTTACTAACGGTTTCGTAACATTTTACAAAATTCCAAATTAAGCACAAAGTCATGACCTTTGATAAAGTACTGGTCTCGCTACGGGCAAGAGTGAGATTTAGCACGAATTGTGATGTGAAGCGGCTTTTCCTGCTCACTAGTTACTGTAATGACTAATGTAATCTGATGTGTGAGTGAGTATGTACAGGTTGTGCAGCAGACATTTCACTGCAGAAATGTTCCAATGTGATCCGTTTGCAGAGTTAACAAGGAAGTTGTATTTGTAGGCAAAATTGTCCCGAAGTTGAGAGCAATATTTCTATTAGATTAAAAGAGATGTATTCACAAGCCTACTTGCTTACAATGTAATAGAGCCGCCTCACCGGAAGTTTTGTTGCCTTGTTTTGAATTGCAGAATACGGCACTGCACATGCCAGAAAATTTTGTCTATGTTCTCGTGTAAACTGGAGGTTTTACAGTTTACTGTGTACATTTTCTTACATTGTGGTTTGAAATGCATTTATCAATGTCCATGTTTTCTAACCCCCAAATTTAAAAATAGCCTTGCAGTTCCCCTTTAAGTATTAATATTGTCTCATATTTACCAGAAACAGTTCTGTTTTGGTGAAGGACATAAAATAGTTGTTTCAGTGAGTTTATAACATGAAATTCTATTTTAAGATACCAATTTTTCAACAAGGGAAACTGTAATTAACACAGTGAACAGTTTTCCACATACCACTGGCCAGCTGCAGACACAGAAGCAGGTCTACAACATCCTTACTGATAGCAAGAAGGTAGGAAGAATCATAAGGGAGCTTGTATGAAATATTAAAATATTTGTAAAGTTTGGTCAAATTAGTAAGCTTTATTACAGGATATTTTTCATTTCTAAACCAAACGTGAATTAATTTTAAACATCACCTTATTTTGACTTCTGAATTCCCTTAATGAGTTAATTGTTTTATGCTCTTCACCCACAGAAAAAGTCTGTAGTCATGAGGATTGATTTTAAACTAACTTTACTTCTAAAAAAAGGAAGGACTTTGAGATTAGAGGCAAATTAGTCATTTGAACCAAACCAAATTATTCTGTAATTGTGAATCCAGCTGGACAACCTATAAATGTTTAAAAACAAAAATGAGAAAACACCAAAAATGTTAAGAGTGCACTGTAAGCAGATTTAGGAAAGGCACAGAAACATTTTCACCCTTTGATCTACAATGTTGCGCTTTGAAGCTTTGAAGCTTTGAAGCTTTAAATCTGACTCTGTGATACTGCTTTTAAAACTTAAATTTCCATGTTTCCAAGATAGCGACTGAGAAATTAGAAATTTGAATCTTCGGCACCTACCTCTAAAGTGAAGGCAGCTGCTGAAATTTCAAATCTATTTGAGACTTGGGGCTAGTCACTCACAAACCCCCATTTATTCAGCAACCTTGTTGTACCATGAAGCCCTTTTTTGCACAGCTGTAAAACTAAATTCCTACAGAAATAAATGCCCACAGATTAAATATCTTCATTGTTTTGGCTTGTGCCATTTCAAGCACACCTCTGCCCACAGCAGTAAGAGCTCTGGCTCAGGGGTTGAGCAGTCAGTTCACCTGCTCCAGAATGGTCTTTCTCTTCTTGGTGTCCGTGACCGAGGACAACTGCATCTCGCCCATCTTCTTCATCTTCTCGTCCATGTCGATCTTCTGCTCCAGCTTTTTGATCTCCGACCGCAGCAGCCTGACGGTGTCCTCCCGGTGGTGCTGCCGGGCCACTGCAGTGGCACAGGTGGAGTGGATGGCTGTGATCCAGTTCTCCAGCTCCGTCTGGCTGGAAGTCTGGAGCAGGGGGGGCACAAATGTGACTCAAGGTCTAGCATTTTCAAAACTGGGTCAACACCTACACTGTGTCGCCCACAATTGTCAAATTGGTGCTACACAAGAGCTGTGTGTTACAGTACGTCTTGATTCTAAAAGTGTATCATTTTAGAAACAGCACAACACATTCTGCATTAAATATACAGTTCCTCAATAATACAAGACACAAACTGGTCCCTGAATGAGTGAAAGACTCAAGGGAGCCAACTCGCAGCCGAATCCAAAAGCTAAGATTTTGAAGCTGCCACAACAAACTGATCCAAACAGTAGTGAATGTCATACTATCGAGCACTTGAAAGGTAAGGGCACAAAACATAAGGTGATTACACATTGCCAGTGTTAGCTTTCATCATTTACAGATGTGTGAAATAAATGCAGAATACATACATGTCTCAGGGTATTTCCTGAAAAATACACTTTAACTGATTTCCATCTTAAAAAAAACTTTCACATCAAAGACTCTCCAAAACCTCTCTTGTTTATAAAGAAGATAGAAAAAGAATACACAGCTAAAGGTTGTATATTTCCAAAATCTCTTTACATCATGCTGCAATCATGCTGCTGACTCAGAAAAATTCAATTACAGATGTAATTACATAAGAAATTCTTCTTTAAAAAAAACTAAGAAAAATTGGCCACTGTTCATTATGTACTGAAGACCAAAGTTCAGATGCTAAAAGACTTCCATACCTGAAATAAGAAAGCATCCCCCAGAGAATTGCTGAGACAGAAGACAAAGTCCTTCTTTGGGTGCTCAGGAACAGCCTGTACAATGCTGTTTTCCACCCACACTGCATGCTTTGGGATACTGTTGTACTCAATCACAGAACGGCCATCAGTCTCATAAAAGAACAGTGTGCACCCTAGGGAACAAAAGCAAGACAGTGTTACAAGGGAGAACAGTATAAGCAGCCACTGTGCACCACTCAAGGGGAACCACACTAGCCTTGAACCTCACCCATCGGGTCTTTGATAAATGTCTTGGTCTAGCAATGGGTCACCAAGTAGACACACTGTATAATAACTGGAAAGGCAAATATGTTACAGTGATACAGTACTTGTATATCATTGATTAGAAGTGATAAATCTTATTAATTTATTTAATAAAAGTATGTGACATACTGAGTTCTGTGTAGAATGGTATTTTGTAAGGGTACACGTTAATCCACATTAACTCCATAGTCAGTTTTCAGTAGAGGAACTCTGGAAGTCAACCAAGCTCTGAGTCTTATAATTCAGACAAAAGAAGGGCATGAGAAAGAGCAGAGAAGACACCGATGCACACAAAATGGGAAAATATCCCAATGGATCTTAAAGCACTTCGCATGGAGAAGGGGACCCATTTATTTGTCTACCACTGACATGCAGCACCCATCTGGCTGCTACACAGCAGCCATTACACACCAACATCCCCAGAAAACAATACAGAATAGGAGGAAAAGTGAGAAAATGCTTCACCAACTGAATCAAATGGAAATGTTGCAGAAGTCCAGATTTCGTGGGTAGGATAAAGCAGGTGGACCTTCATTCAATATTTCATATGAAGGATGGCACCTTCTAAAGCACAGTGCTTCATATTAACATAGTAGGGGATTGGAAAAACATTCTGATAGGAAAATACTAATACAACATGCTTTTTCCATAGCAAAGAGTAACACCAAATGAGAAACAAAGTTAACCAGGTGGTCCCTTAACACTTCAAAAGGTCTATAAATCCATTTAAAACTGAATTAAAGTAAAATAAGGTAGAACTGGAAATTTAGTCTCTGTGAAGGCAGATGTGAAAAGACAGTACAGTACATTTTAATTTTCCCCATAAGTATCACCTTGTTCTAAAACAGGGTGTAATTATAGCAACGGATTGATTTTTTGTTGGGTGTCGATTGTGAGATAATCCTTTCACAACAAAGAGTGACCGGTCTTCACTTCAGTCTAACATAATCACAAAGACACATCTTTATGCAAATCAGAGCTGATGCAAATCACTGCTACCAGATGCCTCTGGTAAGTGAGGAGCATTTATACATTGCAGAACAGATGTAGTGCACAAAGGTATTAATTACTAAAGATTACTAAATTTATTTGCACATTGAATGAGTCTGAGGGTGGATGTGGAAAACAGGTCTTCTATGAAAGTACACAAGTGATTAATATAGCTTGAAACAAAAGCTATACTTCGAAAAATATTGCTCTTGCGTTGCTGGATACTCTACAACAGTGCTAAATCTGTAAGAGATATAAAACGATTAAAATAACATCACAAATATAGTCTCAACATGCAACAATTAATTCAACTAAATTAATAAACTTACTTTGTTGCTTAGTGAATTTTTTGAAGTAGCATTTGAAGAGTCAGATTTATTTCTCAAAAAGAATGCCAAAATTCACTAACAATATGCAAAACGAGAAGAATAAAGATTTGAGGGGAAATGAATACTATAAGACAACGTACACTTCACTCACTCACCCTCCCCTCACACATTTAGTTTTTCATTTTGCGACAACTGACATTTCAGTACAGACGTGTCTGTATCAGGGGAACTGATGAACTTTTGGGTGTGCGGTTGAGAGTGATTTGCTTTAGTTTGGTCTTTTTAGAAGGGCTGCTACTCTTTGAATAAGAAGGGGTAAAAAGAAGAGGTCAGTGCGTCCATCTAGTTCTTTTGAATTTTTGTAGCATACTGATAAACTTAAAGGCCTAATGAGTTCTATGGAATCTGCTTCAACACCGTGAGACATGCCTTCTATTTTTTTCAGTCTTAAAACCTTTTCTCTTAATTTCCACTTATCTCCATAGGTCTATGTTTCACTCATTACCCTTGAGAAGTGCACTAGGTTGACTCGGTCAAACACCTTCCCAGATTTAGAATTCTTGCATCAGAGAAAGCTGGGAATGCTTAAACGTAGTTACCTCTGTTTCCATTACTATTCTTTAACTGATTTAAGCATTTAAGCTTTTAGCACAGCTCAGGTACAGCTCTTATGATTGCTTGTCGTTTGTCAGTAGCCCCTAAGGTAAGCTCTGCCCTGGCTTATCCTATGCAGCCTTATGAAATGATTACTTTGTCACACACTTGAGAGAAGAGCTTGAGAGGAGTCAATCCCACCAAAAACACCTGATTAATTGTAATTTTATGCTCCTGGCATTCCCGCATCATGCTTCTACCATGGAAACTGGTGTCTGTTTGAGTGGAATAACCCAAGTGTTTCCCCATTTCCCCTTTTCCCTCAATGGTGGCGTGACAACAGACCTGAACGGGAACAAAACCCAAGGAAAGCTGACGGGAAGGGAGGAGGGCGGCAGTTCACCTTTGAGGGACACCCAATAGTGTTTCCACTTGCGACGAGCAGCAGGCTCCACCTTCTTGTTCTTCTTGTGCACCAGGAAGTTCTTGACCGCCAGCACGCCGGCCTTGCGCACGGTGCCCTGCGCGGCGCTCAGCAGGGCATCGGACTGGCAGGGGGAGCTCAGGGTGCCGCTGCTCCGCTCGTCGCTCACCGCCGACCCGGCCTCCTCCAGGCTCTCGGTCTTAGAGGAGCTCATCTCCAGCTCCCGGCGGAAGTTCTCGTACACCCCATGGACGCCCTCGCCCGCCCCGCTGCTGCCACTGTCGCTCCCCGCGAACATGCTGCTGCCCGCCGCCGAGCACACGGAGAAGGAGGCCGACATGGCCTTGGAGCGCCTGGACTTGTGATCTGCACCGGCTGTTACTCCATCAATCCCACTGTCTGCATATTCACTTCCTTCCCCTGTTGTAACATCCTATGAGCACAAAATGAGCACAAAAACAATTTCACATCTCAGGGCTGGGGCTGCATCGTTCTGTGACTTTCAGTTTATAGGGTCTCGGATCACTTTTTCTCAATTTTACAAATCGGTGGATAAAAACTTAAACCTTTGTGAAATGTGTCAAATACAAGATTATACAAAGGCAGAAAAAAGCATCAGTTTTAATATTTTGTTGCTCATGCTGCAGTTAACAGTATGATTTAATTCTATTTATATACTAATATGGAAGGACTCCTCCACGACATCTCCATCAAGCAAAAAAAGTGACTCAGCACTTTGTTTCACACATGAGTAGCAGCCTTTCCTTCTCCTTGCCCATGTCAAGATGTGTTTTCCTCTCGCTCTTACAGATTTACAGCAAAATACATGACTAAGCCCATTGCCTTCCAGCCTTCAGCTCAAGAGAAATACCATAAAACACTGCATTATAACAAATGACAATCCAATTCAAAGAATCTGTAGGTTTGTGAATTCTAGAAACCAATAAATATTGGTAAAAAAACAAGGTGTAATGTTAAATACAAAGGTGTCAAACTGTACAATTAAAATAGTATTATTTAGAAAAATTCACTACATGAAAGTTATATGACCAAATTATTTAAATAAGGAAAATATTTCCTTGGTGCACACAGGGAAAATGCTTATCATAAATAATGAATTCAGAATAATTTAAAGCGTCTAAAAATTTTGCTATATCGACACTTTTAAAGAACCGTTACATTTATGAAGGTCTTTAAAGAGATTGACATCACACCAGCATAACATACATTATTTCTTATACAGAATTTGAGTCATAAATCTGCAGGTCAGGTGTGTGATCTTATATATGATAAGCCAAGGGCTGGAAGGGGTTGTGAAGACAAATCCATTTTCCAATTGACTCCAGAACACTGCTGCAGCGGAACGGTTGTCAGGAAGAAAGAGCAAATGTTCCTTCATAAGGTCCCTATCACCTTCACACAGGCCGTTCTGCAACCCAAGTTTCTGTGGTTTGAATATGAGATATTGTATCTCTTAGGTGTGTGTATTCGTGGGTAGTCGATGCTTGTGCTCAGACAAAAGCCTGAGCTCACGCACAATCATCTTAAGCAGGTTCTCAAACCATTTTCTGTATCGGAGGACCCCTTTTCAAGTGGTTACTCCTGATAAGATCCCATAATTAAACTTAATGAATAAATAAAGACTTAAATAAAGATATGTGACCTGCTCTCCCCTAACCAGACTCTTCCAGGTGAGTTCATGTGCTTATTTTTCAGTTTTTCTATCTCTATGGCATGTGTTCTATGTGATATTTGTAAATATCCTGACTTTGTAAGAGCATATCTGCGAATCAGGGTCAAGAGGTTAAGACATGGCTTTCTTAAAAACTCCTTTTACACAACTGACCAGTAACTTTAGAAAAAACTGCACTGACAACCTACTGTAACTATCATCAAGAGTGTTATCAGCAGTATGACTGAACGGAACATAAGTGTTCATCAACATAAGTGTTGATTTTTCACATCACAGGTCTTAGGGTGAAAAGTTTTCTGGGGGAGAAGTTTTATTGTATCCAGATGATCGGAAAAATTTGGATATATGTATTATGATGTTTATAGCTTGTACAGAACATATTTCTCAAGTGTGTTGAGTAAGGCAAAGTGCACCAACAGTGGCTGTCACCAAGGTAAGCTATGGAGAACCACAGTTTTTTCTGATGATTAGTGAGGAAAATATGGCTCGAGGTTCATCGAAACTGACTGTTACTACTGAGTAATTTGAATACTCGGAACATTTCAAGTTACTTCCTCCTGTAGCATGCACAGCTGGCCCAAGGCTAAGGTTCAAACGCTTATATAAATACTACCCTCTATCTAGTTTTCCAAAGGATGAAAGAGAGAAGGCATGTAAGAATGTCGTGCTCTTACTTCGCTAACAATTTTTAAAAAATCAAAATTACTTAAGACAGAACAATGCAGGCCTTTTAAGATAATGCAGCGAAAAATATATATTTATTTTACCTGTGTAGTCTGCGCTCTCCTGCCTTGCATGCTGGCTGGGTGTGCAGCTGGCAGAATGGCCACGCCCTCTGACAGGCAGTGGGACCTTCTGCAGGGGAGGGTGTAGGCCCCATATGAGGTACCATCATCTTCAGAAGACAAAAGCGTCTTTTCAGCAGTCACCTCTATGCATGTGCCAGCCTCCCGCGACCCCTTGTTGTGGCAATACTTTCCAAACACGTTCCGAGAGTCTCTCGCACTGTGGCTCTTTTGACCGCACAGCTCATCCAGAGAGCTGGCCCTGTTGTTGGGGTCCAGTGACTCCATACCCTGGGGGCTGGCTTGGAGCTGTTCACAGTCATTGTAGTCCTTTTCATCCGATGCGTCAATGATCTCCTCTGTGCTGGTTAAGTGATCCTGACTGATGTCCGAAAGGGAAAATTCCAAGCTGTCTTCACGCCACATATCAGCAGATTTAGACCTTTTTTTCTTAAAGTTAAAACTCTCATTTCCCCTTGGTCCATCGTTCACCCTTTGTATGTAAGTGGCCTCCCCCTGAAACAGTCTGCTCTTCTGAGATTCTTGCATGCTAGGAACAGAAGCTGCTGTCAGCACCGTTTCCACAGTGGGATCTACTAATGACTCATTGTGAAAAGAAGCTGGCCTTAGATTCATGGCAACACTGTCAACCCAAATAGGGCTACCAAGATCTCCTAAGATATTTGTTTCATTGAAGGGCTCAAGGCCACTGTCTGCAAGGGATTGTGGGATGCTGGGGGTGCTGCTTGACCGGGTACTGGTTTCAGAATTCCTGTGCTCTACTTTTCCCGAAGACGCATGCCTGGAGCGTCTGGCCTGCTTGCTGGAGATCCGAAGGGATCTGGACATGTGCTTGCGAGACAAGTGACCCTGGTCATTACCATAAAAACTGTGGTCCCCATTCTGGCTTTCTACATTTCCCATGGTTCACACTCTGCAAAGAAAACGTAGACACCACAATCAGCACTATTCTTAAACAAACGAAATGCCACAGATGAGAGGAGAGCATTATTCCCATCTTGCACATGAAGTTGTTGGATTTCCACCAAGCCATTCTTTAAAAACTCTCAAGTCAGCACCAACAAAATGGAAATGAGTTCCAAACTCCTCCCACAGTGTAAAAAAAAACCCTGTTTTCTTATTCTGAATGATTACAAACTAAATTTCCACTACTGACCCCATAAATGTCTGGATGATTAATTTCAGCTCTCAGGAAACACTAAAGTATTGGTCACTCCTTTCTGAGAAATTGGTCTTTTGTTATTTTATACGCTTACTGTGCTACAGCAGTATTAAGCAACATATCACAAACCCAAGAGCAAAGAAAATTTCATTTTCCATGCAGTGTATATGTGGCTTATTTCTAACCTCATTAAGCTAGAAATAGCTTTGAAGTAAACTAAATTTGCAAGAAGATTAGGATTAAATAAATATATACATAACTATAAATTATTTGATGGCTTGGTCCTTTCTGTTAAAATACATTGCAGCAATTTAGTAAAACTGTTTAATTACTCTGTACAACCTGCAAAGGCGTGAGCTTATGGACATCTCCAGGTTCTTCAGGGATCTGACATCAAAGAAAGCATCGTCTTTCCCTTTAAAATGCCAGATAGGTCACAATGTTCTAGAAAAAAAAAGGAGAAAAAAGAGAAAGGAAATAAAAATGTGATCAATCTTTAGCTTTAAGTAAGATTTCTATGAAATTCATGTTAATGTGCTGCACTGCATCTCACATTCCCAAAGCATAACTGCTGGCTGGAACAGCATGTGATGTTATGAAAGTCAATGCTGAATTTAGTTCTTTGATTCTAGCCACATTCCATTGCAGGTAGGTGCTGCCCTGCATATGATAGGTAAAGCGTCAAATCTTTCTGAAAAATGCCATGATTTCAATGAGACTTTCTGGTAACTATTGAGGACTATTTTCATTACTACTAGATTATATATACATATAAATGTATCCTTTATTTTGCTTAGAAGTCCCACTTGTTTTAATTTCTATTTTACTTGAGAGATTGGGGGCACAGGGAAAAAAACCTTTGATGCTCTAAAGGTGCCACACTTAGCTCTGGTCATAGGGCTGCAGGATATTTTTATGTCCAAAACTGTCACAGAATCTCCATTTAATGGCTCATCTGAAAGAGGTCACTGCCTATAGTGTAGTGCCCTCTGTCAGACTGGAGTTGTACTTTCTGATTGAGAGAGAAGAGTGCCACCTACTGGTCTACAGACATAACCAGATTGCTCCTACAAATGTCAATCAGACTTCAAGGCACTATGACTCCTAGCTAAAATTGTTATTATTGTTACTGTACATTTAATGTCTTATGTGTTTAGATGAAAAGACGAATCTCTGTGTGTGGGGGTAAAAACAAGACAGTTGTAACCACAGGCTCAACCCAGCCACAAACCTGTTTTACAAGATACCATATCTAAAGCCTCTGACAAACACAAACAGGATAAAATGAGAGAAAGCAGAGTGATATGATACACCATAACACATCAGGGAAAAGGTAGCAGTGAGAACAAACCCTTGGTAACAAAGTATTTTACATGCAGTGTGTACATTTAAGCAGAACCTCAGAGATTTTTTTTCTGTGATCTACAAAACTAAAAAGAAAATGAAAAAAATATTGAATCCCAGCACTATACAATACAATATTCTTTCCTTGTGTTTGGCAGCAAGGTGGAAATATTGAATGCAATAAGATAAAAAGGAGACAGAATGAAGGGACATTTATCATTGTGATTTTTACTTGTTATGCCTTACTACTTCATCTAAAGCCTTATTCTGTATGATACACCAATAGCATATAGCCAACTGCTAATGACTAAATAAGATAAATCACTAGCTACATAAATACCACATCAAATGCAACCACAGTACATCTGTGAATACATTTGTTAAGATTGGCCAAAGCAGGACAATGATTATGGAAATCATGTCAATAGCAACAATGATAAATGAGAGGATGCCATTCAACCCATCTCACCCATGTGATAATCCAAGTATTCAAAATCCTCAAAGGCAGAGACAAAGAAGTCAAACCAGTGGACTTTGGAAGAATAAAACTCAAAAAGTGAACAGAGACAGGCTATGTGGAATTCAATTTATAACAAAAAAGAGGAGGCATTTCTTTATTACAGGGATGTAGGAGTGTTGAACAAGGACCCAGCCATGTGGTTAAGCCGATATCCTGGCTGTTAGCTAATATACAGTAAGCCAAGTAGGCCAAATGGCCTCCGTTAGCTTGTAACCCTTCTTACATTCTAATATTGCAGAATTAATCTCAGAAAACCATCTACTCTCTGAAGAATCCCAGAGTAAGCACTTTAACAACCTGACTGGGCAATTTGTTTCGGACGTATCCCAGCCCCTATAACTCTGCTAAAACAAATTATTTCCACAAAAGGAGAAGATCAAAAATGGTGATGAAGGTCAATGAACCTGTTAGTGTACTGGTTCCTTTATGTGCACCATCCTGGTTGATATCAAGACAAGCAGCAGGAGGACGCTGACAGAAGACACATTCATGATAAAGTATGGAAATCACAGCTCTAATCATCGCACCTGCCCTGTTGAGAATCCAGAACAAATCACTTCCTTTGATAACAGATGACATATAGAAGCAAGAAGAAGTAAGCCTGTCACTAGTTCTAGGTGTTAAGATGTTGATGCTTCCATCTCACATCCTAGACTGGCTCAAAAAAAGATCATTCTAAAGAATTTCTGAAAAACAGTTGACAGCTTATTTAAAACAAAATGTGTCTATAAGCTCATTATATGTTATGTAAGCTTGTAGGTGTCAAAACTACATCTGTTCATATTATTGCATTTAGTACCCACTAAAAATGTGATCTGCAGTGTTTTTACATTGAATGACAGTATAATGTTTCAACCATCCATTTTCTAATCTTTAATCCAACACAGGATCATAACGGAGCCAGAACCTATTCCAATAAGCAATGGGCATAAGGCAGGATACACCTTAGATGAGATGCTAGTCCATCGCAGGGTACACACAAACACAGACACAAACATGCACTCACACCAGAGCCAATTTTCCTAGAAACCAGTTAACCAACAACATGCAAACACAACGAGAACATACAAACTCCACACAAACAGCATCCGAGATCCAGAACTGAAACCAGGGTCTCAGTACTGCAAGGCAGCAATATTATGCCATACCATACCAGCAGTGATCTCGCCCTGCAACTCACAACTGGCAGCCCACTGAAGCTACGTAGGTGGTGAGCCTGGTCAATACCTGGATGGGAGACCTCCTGCAAAAAACTAAGGTTGTTCCTGCTGTATTAGAGGGGCCAGTAGGGAGCGCTCATCCTGCAGTCTGTGTAGTTCCTAATGCCCCAGTATAGTGACAGGGACACTATACTGTAAAAAGGAGCTGTCCTTCAGATGAGATGTAAAACAGAGGTCCAGAATCTCTGTGGTCATTTAAAATCTGACCGTTTTTCAAAAAGAGTAGGGGTGTTACCCTGGCGTCCTGGCCAAATTTCCCATTGACCTTTACCAATCATGGCCTCCTAATAATCCCCATCCATGAATTGGCTTCATTACTTTGTTCTCCTCCTCACTGATAGCTGATGTGTGGTGAGTGTACTGGCGCGCTATGGCTGCCGAGGAATCATCCGGGTTGATGTTGCACATTAGTGATGGAGGGGAGTCTCCATTACCTGAGTGGAGAGTCCTGAAAAGTCCTGATAAGCGTAAACTATTAGTATTATTAACCACTGTCCCACATATACGTTGCACTTAAATAAAAAATTGTAATATGAATATGACACAGAAAGAAAATACTGGCTCCCCAAAAAGGGAAAAAAATAAATCTAGAAAAGCATTTTTCACTAGAGACTGCATGTTTGACTAGGTAGACACAAACTGGGGAGCTATTTCATTGTGAGTGATATTTTGAGTTAATTTCGGTATATTTTTATAAAACAGAAACATCTTGAAACTCAAAGGTTAAATCCCTAACACACTCCCACACATGAGTTTATTTCTTCCACATGACCCAATTTTACAGCTGCTAATCCTATTTCTAGAGAAATGGGCCGTTAAGCATTAAATAATAAAAAAATTGTGTAGATTTTGGATACAGAATTTCAAACTCTGTATCATCACATGAAATTTGCAATATTTATGTGTTGGTGTTCAAAGCAAGTCGCTGTGGCGAACGAGCCCAGACAGAGGACAGAAAGCAGAGAAAAACTGGAGCCGTGAGAACTGATTGCCAGTGAAGCAGACTGGCGTTTTCCTGTGTCTTCAAATCCATCGGTAGACTGTAATGGCTCTGTATGAGTACAGAACTGGAAAAACATTTTTTGGCTCCCACTGTGGAATGAGCTCAAAGAGCAGCAAAGTAAAAGTGAAACAAAAGGAGAAAAGTACAGCGAGTACAAGCAGATATGAGGTAAACTGACAGAAATGGTGCATCACAGTGGAAATGTTCTCAGTTTTTATTTTCCCCTGTCCAGGCGCAAAATGGTCAGGAACCAATCCTTTCCTTTTTTTCCCCAAAATTACCGATAATACCCACAATGCTGTCCTGCAATGGTGTCAACAAAAGGTTTGACCTGTTTTGTTCAAGAAAAAGAGAAAGCATTCAAAGACTGTCCAAATGCTCCAGTTCACATAACATCAAGGTGCCAAGATCAACGCTGTGGATAGCTTTGATATGAGGATTAAGCTTAATGTTTTTTTTTTTCATTTAAAAATAAAGATAATTTTTGGAATTGTCTCTTAAAAGAAAAAACACATTTCCAAGACACAGATGATACTTGATGGCTGTTTTTTTATCTCCACATAGGAAAACAATCCTTCTACCGCTCCTGTACCTGCTTTGCAGGTTGAGAGATTGGATGGTGACAGCAGTTGTCTGCTTCTTTTCAGATGAAAGAGAAGAAAAACTGAAAGAACAAACATTTGTTTTTCCCTAGAACCGGCTGTCCTCTTTTGTGTGCAGTCACCATGTCCCGGTAAATGGCAGAATGCCTCTGCACTGTGCATAGTCAGTCAAGCTTAGCACAATTAAAAGTCTTATATAAGCCAGAGCTGACCCTATTTTTATATATTACAATTACTTTCTTCCAATTTATCCGGACTGATTTCCTCTCCTGCTTTAGTTCAAAGTTTTGGTCTGATCCAAAAATGACATCAACTTGTTGTCTGGGGTTCCAGACTTGTCTGGGGTGATTCATAGGCATAGTCAAATTTGTGTTACATTCTCAAACCCCACTTAGTGAATCGGAATGCTATTGTGCTCTTTAAATGACTGACTGAAAGTCTAATTTGTACTAATGTGTTACCAAACAAATGCTTAATGATGAATTTTCTGGCAAAACTCATTGTTGTTCTGGCACCCTCTCCTTCATTTAGCTTTCACCATCAACGCACCATTGTTAAAAAGTTTAATGAAAAGGTGCTTCATCATTTCCTATCAGCGTTCTCCTCTGTAGTGCAAGTATGAGAACACATGGTGGTGTTCAATGCACAGCAACCCCTTGAAAACAGCATCTTCCTATTGAAGAAAATCAAGCAGAAATCCTTCCAAAAGCAGTCAAGTATTTTTTTTTCCCATGGTTTCTCCACATTTTGTTCAT